GTTTGCAATGTAGTTGTCATTTCACACTGACTGTGACAAGTTGGCACCAATCGAAATAACCAAGGACATTCGTAATAGAATAGTCGCTCAAGATATTTATTCGCTCTTGCCTTACCCGAGGTGAGGCCCACACTGGAGACAGCCGCCAGCGCATGAAGTGCTGACGATAACGAACACTCCGTAGATGCAATCGCAATGCACTGGGTTCGAGCATACCAGTAAATCGTGTGAAGCTTCATCGAACATGATGGGATCACTTGGAGCCGTATTGACAACTATGATATATTTTGACCAAATAGTATGAAATCCACAATTAGCTTGACGTTTGGCAATTGCAACTCTTGAAGGCCACTCACTAAGAGCGCCGCCGAGACATCGCTCGGCCGACTGGAGGACAAGTTTCAAATGGTGCGCAATGCTAATAACTGAGAAGAATGTGGGCGTATGAAACGCAGATCGACTAGCTGCCAGGTTGGGACGCTAAGTGTATAGCATGGTGTTTGCAGGACGCGAAGTATCAAAAACTAGACACAGCACCAGAGTGGCAGAGTTGCCTACCAATGCACACTCGTCAGTCAAATCGCAGCTTTTCTTGTCGCTTACGTTCCAAGGCGGGAAAACCCAGGCAGTTCTCTTGGTTGTGGATACCTTTGGTAATCGGCATGGCCCATACGCCTGGCGATATCGTAAAGAAGCGATAGGAGTCTGGCAAGGCATTACCCTCGTGCTCGTTGGCGCCACACATGGACTTCCCTCGACATTGCCTCACAACGTTGCGGCGAGAACCTCCGTCTGCACTGGTTTCAACCGAGACGGTGGCGTTGGGGCTCGAAAATCGAACGAGTGCCGAAAAGGCGTGCCGTTTCATGTGAATATGTTCGAGATGGAAGGGTCAGTTACGTGAAACCGAATATGTTCCACGCCGTCCATCCTCGGGCGAATCCATGTCATGCCATTACCTTTTGAACCGTTTGACGACGACATGTTTTCCGCACTGACGCCGCCTGCGGCGCTATCGAGCCGCAAACTTCGCGAGCACGTGGCAGCACATCGACCCGAGCTCATCCCGCTCTTCAAGCTGTTCCACAAGGCCGACAACAGCCAGCAGCCATGGGAGGTACGTGGTCGTGCCACAACGTGTCGTCACTCTAGTGACGAACCCGACACCGCTTAGATGGAGACCCCCGTCGACGCGGTGAAGCTAAGCACGTTTCTACATTCGAAAATGTTGCTGTCGCCCGAGTTGAATCGAAACTCGCCATGCTACATTGCGCGCCGCATTGTGCAGCTCTACATTAAACTCATGTACATTGCAACGTTCCCCCCACACGAGATCGATGAATACGGGAGCCTTGGCGACCAAGAGTACGACGAAGTCCGCATGGTTCGCTACCTCTTGCACAACGGCCAGCCTTCCTTCGACGTTGAGCACATCTATCGGCTCGCAGCCATGCTAGGCATCTCGTACCACGCAGACCTGTGGAACGACGTGATGAAATTTGTCACGTGTGCCCTGCCATTTGCCGAGCACACTGAGTCGCTTCTGGTGCGCGGGTCCGACGACCGGTCGATCTTGGACCCCGCTACGAAAACGAACAAGTACAACACGTCCACAATTCCGCCCGTGCACCAGTCTCAAGCGTGGATCAGCCGTGCGAGCTGCACGAGCTCGAGCATTTCCCTCGACCAATTCACCGTGTGCGAAGCGCAGCGGCAGGAGCTCCTCCTCGCGTCGCTTTCAATCAACAACGACAATATTCGAGACATCTTTGACCGAAAGATGCACAACGTCCGCGTCCGCCTCGCCGACTGCTTGGGTCTCCGCTCTCACTTTGACGACCACGACTTTCAAGCGATCATATCGCCGTCGGGCACGGACGCTGAACTCCTCGCGACATCGGTCGCCCTCGCACGCTTGGAATCCATCCATACAGACGCAAACCCCCTCGGAACCGTCACGACGATTGTGACCGCCCAGGGGGAGATCGGCCGCGGATCCGTGCCAGCGTCATCCGGTCAGCACTTCAGCCAACTGACCCCTAGCGGCGAAGCCGTCGAAGTGGGCGCTCCGTTGTGTGCGTTTCCATCGGCTCGCGTGCGATGCACTCAAGTGCCAGCTCGTCATGAAGACGGCTCGGTCGTCGACGCCGACGCGATCACGTCCCAAGCTGTGCATGATGCGCTGGCGTCTAACCCGAACAACGTCGCGCTGCTGCATGTTGTCATGGGGTCCAAGACTGGCCTGAGTTGTCCGAGTCTGCACGCCGTCCACGAGTTGGTGTCGACGTACGGCACCCGCTTGGTCATCGTCATCGACGCGTGCCAAATGCGGCTCGATCGAGGCGCCCTCGTGGACTTTATCCAGCGCGGATATGTCGTTCTGGTCACGGGCTCCAAATTTTTCGCCGGGGTGCCATTCTGCGGCAGCGTCTTGGTCCCGGCGCAGTCCGTATACGAACTCAACGTGGCCGACCCGAGCCTTTGCTTCCCCGCGGGGTACGCCGCCTACTTCACCAAGTTTGAGTTTCCTCCATTTTGCATGCAAAACGTCCGCGCTGTTCTCCCGACACGGATGAACGTGGGGCTCCTCCTCCGATGGGAAACCGCTTTGGTCCATATGGAAGTGTATGCGTCGATCCCTCCCGCCATGGTTGCGCAGATCTCGCACGAGTACATTGGACGTGCCAAGAGCATGCTAGCCACCCACACCCATGTCGCTCTCCTCGACCCATTCGACGCCCCTGCCAAGGCGCTGAAGCCGAAGCCTCCCGTGTCCGCAGACACGGGTCTCCCCATCCAACCTCTTGACACGATCGTGTCGTTTCATGTTGTGGATGGCGCGAACGGATTCTTGAGCTTGGACAAGCTCAAGGTGGTGCACCTCCTCCTGTCCAAGGACATTTCGAGCGTCGTCGCGAGCACCAACGAAGTCGCTCTCGCCCAGAAGAAGTGCCTCGTTGGCCAGCCGGTGTCGTTGGGGAAGCTCCCCTACGGTGTCCTTCGCATTGCGCTCGGCGCCGACATGGTAAATCACATCTTCCAAGGCACCAAGACCATGTCCGAGCTTGTCCTGGAAGACGCCATCATCTTGCGCAAGATCGAGCTCATTTTAAACCACTGGGACGCTCTTTGCGCCCGTTTCGTCCACGTCCCGACCGCGTCCCCCATGACATTGCCGGCTGCATCCATCGACACGAGTCAATCGACGCCGACGTCGTCTCGGTGGAACTTCAGCGCCAAGTCGTCGCACTGCAGCTCGGTCGTCCAGCACTTGGTGGAAGAATGCCTCGTGGCGGCGCCGCGCACGATTCTGTACGATTTGGACGCGGTCGACATGGCGTTCCAAGCTCTGATGGCGCCATTTCCACCGCATTTTGAACAACGCTTTGCCGTGGGAGCATGCCCGCTGTCGTTTTTCTTACGTCGGGCAATTGAAAACGATGTCGGGCTCACGTGCACCACAATCGTCGAAGTGCACCACGCGCTGCGCCTCGGGTGTGCGCCGCACAAGATTGTGTTCACCGCCCCCCACAAATCTCCAAGTGACATTGCCGATGCGATCAATGCCGGCGTCGAGGTCAACGCCGACTCGTTCGAAGAACTCGATATTATCAAGGCCCATGCCCAGCAGCGCTTCCAGTCCAACTTTCCAGAATGCACTCCCCGATATGCAGGGGAGCTCCCCCGCATCGGACTGCGCGTCCACGCGTGCTTGCACACGGCTGCTCCGAAATGGTGCACGGGCATCTCGCTGACGAAACCGAACCGGGCCAAACTCGTCCAAGCATTTCATGACAACCCGTGGATCACAGGGCTCGCCGTAGCGTGCTGTGCCGACTGCCCCGCTGGCGTCTCGTCCATGCAGCAGCTCGCGCACGGAGCACGTGTGATCTGCGACCTCGCCAAAGAAATCGACGCGACTGTGGGAGAGGACCGTGTCAAGGTACTCAACCTCGGCGGACGTGGCCTCACTGCCAACTTCGAGTCGGACGACGTGTCCCCAACCCTGGCCGAATTTGTCGATGTCCTCAAACACGAAGCGCCGAGCGTTCTCGAACGCAGCAATGGCCGCACGATCGTGACCGAGTACGGCTCGTACGTCAGTGCCAAGGTCGGATGGACCCTGCATCAGGTCGACTGCATCCGAGAAGCGGCCACCGACGACGACGTGACGAATACAATCGTGGTGCGCGCCGACAGCGCCTTCTTCACCACGCGGCGCACCCACACGTCGACATCGGAGCCCACATTCCAGCACCGCGTGTCAGTTTTCAAGTACGTTGAGTTGAAATATCCTACTGGAAACAATCCATCCTCATGACGCACGACTAGATCCGACGGACTCACGTCTACGGCCAAGGACGTGGCGCAGCAAGTCGTGAGCTTTATGGAACCGGGGGCCACCGATGCTGTATGCGTTCGACCTTTGACTGTGCCGAAACTCGAACGAGGAGACTTTCTCGTGGTGCATGACACTGGTGCGATGAACAACGTGGATGGCGCTGCAGTGTACGGGTATCGCCACGACGACGACGAGATCAAAGTGGTGCTGCTAAAACCAGCCCATACGCTGGAGCAGGCCATGCAGCTGTGGAGCTAAGGCAGTCGTACCACGCGGCGGAGGGCAGCAAGTGCAGTGTAACATAATATTTTGTACGATGCGGGGTGGGTCCCTCGCTACTTTTGAGTGCGCAACTTGGCGACAAGCGTTTGAATCTTGCCGTCTTTGAGCCGCACGAGCTGTTCGAGCTTTTGGATCTTTTGCTCCAAGATCTGTTGCATGGCAAGCCACTGCTTAGCGCATGGGGGTTCGGTGTCCATTTACCTGGATGGTCTCCCGCTGCTCGTCGATGATGCTGATCTTTTCTTGGAGGTCCGCGTGCACGTCGGCGTGGTCTGGCGACGACTTCTGCGATGTTCTACAACCAAATGGCTCAACCACACATGCGGCTAAGCGATACATCCATGACGCTTTGGATGTGCCCAACTTACTTGGAAGCAAAGCTCGCGAGACTGGCCGGGAAGTCGTCGACGCTGTCGTCTTTCGCCTTGGCTTCCCGGACCTCAGACCGCTTGGGCACGCCAGAGTAGTTTTGTTCGCTGTTCAAACTTTCCTCGTTGAGCGAGACGCGTGCGTGACCCGTCGGTTCGCGGACGGGGGAGTTTGCGGAGTCGCCTACATCCGTCGAACTGGCGCGCCGCAGGCGGTAATTTGCAATCTGTTGGAAAAACTACCGTGAAAACCCAAGCAAGAACACTTGTGAGAACGTACTTTGACCTGCAGCTTGCTCAGGAATTCTTCCACGGCACCGGGCTTGCATTGGACGATGTCGTCGATTTCTTTCTTGGTCAACTGGAATCCCAACCGCTTGAGGACCTTGGCTGAGGAGACGTAGTCAGGACGCAATGTCGACAACAAACGACCCAAACGTACTGTTGAGCGTGCCCCAATTATACTGCTTTTGCGTCAACGAGTTGGCCGAGCTGTAGTTGTGCATCTGCACGAGCTTGGGAAAGTAGTACGCAATGACTTCCGCCGCTAGAATGCCATCGCTAAAATCGCGCCCCATGTTCTTCTTTGGCCGGGAAAGGGGCACTTCATCGATCCACGCATATATCTTCTGAAGGATTTCGTCATCGAGGACAATCCCATCCATCGCTTCGACCGCGCCGCCGACGCTCGTTGCCCCACCACCTTGTGAAACCGCTCTAGTCTACTAGTACGTACACGACGGATGTACTAATAGTAGGACGAAACTATGGACTGCCTGTCAAATAAGTCTAATGTTACAAGTTGAATGTTGGACGTTTTGCTAGAGATACACGTACAAGATTGCGCAGTATTGCGGTGTTTTCTTGAGAAGGTGACAGGCAACCGCTTCCTCATGGCCTTGGGGCATCCCAGGCTTTGCAACCCGAAGCTATCCACAACTTGTATTCACTCTACAAGAACATGCGACACAAATCAGGACATCCAATGGAGAGTCGCTCTCTCTTCTAGGGACCTGACTTGTAGTAGTACTAATTATAAATAGTAGTACTACGACCTGCATTTTGAGATGTCTCGGAGTCCGGGAGAGCAGGTTGAGAGAGTGACTCTCCGATTCTCACGATATGATTGGCTGTTGTGATCAGGCCGCCCATTGGTCCGTGATGGTCATCGTGGACACCAATTATTGTTCCGGAGGGTCAAGGTCGCCGCGATGATGAAGGTTGTGAACCCGTCCAAGGGCAGCGAGAGCGCGGGGAATGCTGCGTCGTTCTCGTCGTCCGGTGGCACCCTCAAGTTCAAGGGCTGCGCGCACTTTCGCCAGCGCTTGATTTGTGCAACGTTAAGTGGCCGTCGCATTCGCATTGACAACATTCGCGGTGACAGCGAAGAGCCTGGGATCTCGGAGTTTGAGGCCAACTTCCTGCGCCTCCTGGACTCGATCACGAATGGCAGTCAGATTGAGATCAACGAAACAGGAACTGTCCTCAAGTACGCTCCGGGTTTCATCGTCGGGGGCACGATCGACCACGACTGCGGCACGAAACGATCCATTGGTTGGTTCCTCGAAGCGTTGGTCGCGCTCGCGCCGTTTGCCAAGCGTCCGTTGGTGGCGACGTTGAAAGGTATCACGAACGACGACGTTGATGCGTCCGTGGACTACTTCAAGGCTGTGACGATTCCATTGCTCAAGGTGCGAACTGCGTCGAAATCGTGACATTCCTGAGCTTGGCGTGTAGCATTTTGGCTTGGACGAAGGGCTGGATTTCAAAGTCAAGAAACGGGGTGCGCCTCCACTCGGCGGTGGCGAGGTCCTCTTCCGATGCCCAACCGTCCGCCAACTCAAATCGGTCCACTTGGTCGAGGAAGGGTTCATTAAGCGCATTCGGTAGCTTCAAGCACGTGGTTGACCTGACATCTTCAACGATGCCTCTGACGTCTAGAGGAGTCGCCTACTGCACACGCGTGTCGCCTCAAACGTCGAATCGCATCGTCGACACATCTCGAGGTCTCTTCAACAAGCTCCTTCCCGACGTATACATTTACTCGGACCATTACCGCGGCACGGACTCGGGCTTGTACGTTTTCCTTCACAGTGCCACATATCTCGCAAGTCTGATCGTTTTCAACGTAGGTCCCCCGGCTACGCCCTGTCGTTGGTGGCGGAAACGACCACAGGGGTGCTTCTCGGGGCCGAAACCGCAGCTACCAGTGGCAGTTTGCCCGAGGTACACTTGATTGTTCGCTTGTGAATTTTCAACATGTCGAGGTAGGACGTGGCGTCCATGGCGTCGCATCTGCTGTGTGAAGAAATTCAAAGGGGCGGCTGCGTCGACACGTCGAACCAGTGTTTGGCGCTTCTACTGATGACGCTGTCGCCTGAAGACGTGTCCAAGATTCGATTCGGCAAGCTTACGCCATACAGGTACTTGTTGGACCGCGCCGCCCACGCATCGATTTGTGTTGTAGCATGCAATATCTGCGCCACCTGCGAGATTTCTTTGGCGTGACGTTCAAAATCAAGGCCGACCACGAGTCCAAGTCGGTCCTGTTGTCGTGCCTCGGGATCGGGTTCAAAAACTTGTCGAAGAAAGTCACATAAAGCAACATGTATTTTATTTGCCACCAACACGGGTTGACCGATTCTACTTGCGCTTGGTGCGCTGCGCCTTCATCGATTCTTTGGTCGGGGGCTTCTTGCGCTTCGGTTTGACAGACGCTTCGAGGGGAGTCACTTTCTTCCCTTGCACCTTGGCCTTGAGATTCAAACGAGCGCTGACCATCCATTTCAACGCAATTGCCGTCGACGCAGCATTGAGCCGCACCGGGCGATTCGCCCACGCAGCCCCGCGAGTTGCAATGTCGTCTTCGTCGTCGCTGACGTTGGCTACGGCGCGCCGCTTGCCGGTTTTCCCAAACACGCGGTCCTGGCCAAGCCGATACCACTTGAGCATGAGAGCGCGAGACGCTGCGTTCAAGTGCACTTGGCCAAACCCGAGTGTCGCCGCTGCCATGTCGTCGTCAGCGTTGTCGGCGTTCGCTCCGAGCGCAGGCATGCGCATCTCGAGCTTTTGCTTGGCGAGACAACTCAGACACAACGTCTTGAACTTTTGATGCTGGGCAAAGTACTTTTTCCACTCGGCCACGTCAAACTCGTCGCTTGGGTAGGACCGTTCAAACTTGTCGCCCATGACTTCGATGGGAATCACCATTTCGACCTGCAGTTGTCGCCGACTGAGGCAGCTCTCGCACTCGACTTTGCGCGCGGCGTTGATGAGGGGCTGGACGGCCAAGCGCAAGCGGAGCCGACGGCGAGCCTTGGCAAGCCACAGTCGAATGAGATCTCGCGACGGCGCATTCAGCGACACGGGGCCGAATCGAGGCTTGCCATCTAGACAACGTCAGGTCAACCACGAGAAAAGGCATGTCGGCACGGACCGTCGTCGTCGTCATCGTCAGATACGTTTGTGTTCAAGCTGCTCAGGATCTTGGAAAACTGCGTGATGAGGTACGGCCGCGCGCGCCGCAGCGTCCGCGGGGTCAGGATGTTTGGCAATTGCGCGACGATCCATGGCCGGTTGTAGTTGAGAAATTTGAACCGAAATGTTTCGCTCGTGAGACGCTGGTTCATCAAGAACGCTTCGTGCGATGCGCCTTTGATGCGCTCGAGCTCTTCCCAGTCGGGAACGCCGCTGTCGTCGTCGTCGGGAGCGTTGTGCCACGCCGTGTTTTCGTGGCGCAGCTTGTACAAGGCAAACTTGCGCGCGACGTACATGCACGTGTTGCGGGTGAAGACGCACACGGACAACATGAACGGGATCAAGTAGATGGCAGCCGGGTCGCCAAACATGTTGTACTGGTTTCGCACCATGATCTCGATGGCCAAGATCAGGCTGAGCATGCCCCATACTTGGACGGCGCACATGAAAAAGTACTGCGACGAAAAACACATTTGGTCGAGGTGGCGCACGCTCTGCTCGATGCACTCGTCCAAGTTGTGCTCCATCCCTTTCCATCGGTGTTCGCGCTGGATAAACCGATACCGGCAGTAGACAAAGTAGTCGTACAACTTCCACCCACGAAAGAGCTCGATCACGTGCAAAATGAACACGTCCGCGAGCAGCTGGAACGGAATCAAGAGCGTGAAGTAGAAAAAGTAATACTCCATGTCCTGGTTCCGAATGCTCCAGTTGGTCGACAGCCCCGTTTCGGCCCGAAACACCATGAGCAGCGCAATCACGATCGGTTGGAAAAACACGGCCAGCGTCGCCATCGTGTACTCCATGCAACACTCGATGATCGGCTCCACCGTCGCGCCTTCGTCGTCCGGCTTGACCGACGGCAGCAATTCCTCGTTGCCAAGGTTTTTCCCGTCGCCACCCACCGGCGGTTGTTTGGGCTTTTGTCCAAGGTAGAATCGCGTGACCGCGACGGCTTGTTTCCCCATGGCCTTGGACCCGGCCACCATCTCGTTGAGTGCGTGCACCACGGCAAAGAAAGTGGGCTTTTTGTACACGCGGCGAACGAGCACGAGGCCAAACGCGGTGAACGACGCAATGACAAACCCGAGAAAGTCGGGCGCGGCAATCAGAACGGTGGCAAACACAACGTTCACGATGCACACGATCGGCGCGTACAGGAGGACGTCGCTCACACACGCGTCGACCACCATGACCAGCGTCGGCACAATCACTTCAAACGAAATTTGGGTGTAGAAAATATTGGCGCCAAACTCGGACCAGAACGAAAACTCAATCACAAGCACCATGACGACAGACACCATGGCGCAGGTCAAGATCACGTTGGCACGGCGCCACGGCGTCGGTTTCCACAGCGAGTCGTCGTCGTCCTTGTCTTCGGCCGCCCGCTCCGAGATCGAGATTGTCCGAGGAATAAAGATCATGATCCCTTCGCAGAGTAAAAAGATGCCCATCATGAAGAAACACAGCCCGACGCGTCCGTGCCGGATCGTTTCGACCATGGTCGGGTCGACTTGCGACGCCATGTAGTGGCGCTTGAGATTGTCAATCATCCAAAAGTCTGCTCCCCATGGCGACCACGGGTAGTTGTTGGCCTTGTACTCGCCAAACACGTCGCCATTTAGGAGGAGGTAGAACGCTCCGACGACAACGGAGCATGGCACGGACGCCAGGACGATTCCGATCGTCGGAGGCGGCGCGATGAGTGCCAAGTACGATAGATATCGCAGCTTGGGGGGGTCACGGATTCGAGTCGTGAGCCGCGTGATCAACCAAAACACACTCGCGATCGCTGTGCACAACATGCCAATGCAGCTGAAGAGAACGACGAACACATTCAGGTCAAATGCAAACGCGTTGACGAGCTCAATGTAGTTGAGCGGGGCAAACTCGAGCTTCAACGTGTAGTCTGTGACAGCCGGGTTGTTGTCGAATTCGTCCAAGATGAGTTTGGCGGACACGAGGCGCTTCAGCTGCGGCGAAACTTGATAGTAGTGGAGCTCGAGCGTGACACTTCGGGGGTAGCATTGCAACAAGCACCCGCCTTCGTACCGTTCCGCGGCAGTTCGATCGACCAAGACAGGAACGAAAATGTCCGAGTTGGCTGCTGCCAGCAGCGTGTTGTACAGGTCTCCGCCTTGCAAGTACTGCGCAAACGTGATCGGTTCGTTCAGAATGTCAAACAAGTGCGTGAGGTCCTTCGCTTCGTACCACCGCGGATTGATGTCGACTGTGGTCAGGTCTTCTTCGTAGTGGCACTGGACTTGGCGGTAGCAATAGTCTGCGACAGGCTCCTCCAGCACATCGGTCGGCTCGACAATGCGAATGTCGTCTTGGTTTGGCATTGGCGGAAACTTGCGGCGCCACCAATTTCGGTCAAACTCTTCCAACCCCGGCAAGTTACACTCGACTTGGTTCTCAAGGAAGTCGTAGATCGGAATGTACGAATCGTACGTGAAGCAGTGCGAGAAGAAGGGCAAGTAGGGAAGGACGACCTGCAGCACCAATGTGATGGACATGGGCACTAGATCATCGCGATGGCGACGCGTACCTGGTCCATCGAGTACTTGTCGCGGGCACCATTCAAGCCATGGAACGTTTCCCGGTACTTGTCGATCTTCTTGACGGTCGTATCAAACGTGTCGTACGGAAGCTTCCAGTAGTTGAGTGGAAGCGGCACGGGGGTATCGCGAAGGTTGGGTTGGTTACTGTCCACCGATACGTTGGCCTTGATCAAGACGCGGCCGCGTTCGAATTGATCGAACCGAGGCGGCAAGTTGAGCGGCACGGGGGTCACGAGGCTGTACTCGTGGCGATATATTGCAACAAACGTGTATTCGCGGGGAACCAGGCGTTCTTCGAACGATACGATGGATGACAGAGGACGACTGTCGGCGACGATGCCTTGCGTGACGTTGGCCCGGACCGGCGACGTAATGTCGACTTGCGTCGTGTTGGTGAAGAAATCCTCCGCGGCCAAGAAGAGGCCGTACATGAGGTGGATTTCAGGTTTGATGAGCATGTCCTCGAGTGCCATGACCGTCAAATTCACGACCGACCGTTGTTCAAAGTCTGGCGATGTGATCCACGACGGCAGCACGATTGGCTGTCGACACGGACTCGTCTCGGTGTCGTCTCCCGCTGGCTTCAACGTGCCGCGACCATCACATTGCTCGTCGTGGCATACACTTGGAGTGACGTAGAGTGCGATTTTGTAATGCTCATCGTACACCATGTCTGCCGGAATCGCGCGCAAGTCGAACGACACAAACGCCTGCGAAAACGCTCGTAAGGCGAACCACCCGAGTCCTTTCGGCCGCGGGCCTTCTTCGTCGGCGTTGTAGCCGCAATCCATCATCAATTGGATTGGAGCGGACGTGTATAGGATCGTCGCCCCCGTGGTGCTTCGATGGACCCCAAAGTTGGTCACGTAAATGACGACTTCGGCTTCGTGCGATCCACCGTCGAACGTAAACGGAGGGGCGCGGCACGTCACGCGCGTTGAATTCACGTACGTGGCAGGGACAGACATAAAGACAAGTTTGCCGTCGGACAACTGAAACTCGCACGTGAGCCGGTTCGACGGCAGGAAATTTCTCCCCACGATCGTTAGGAGGGTTCCCCCGTCATTTAGTACGATGCTTGGGCACGATCGAATGACATCGAGGGTGTCGTTCACCCACGGCGCAGCGCTCGCGCTCAAGTTCACGGGCAGAATTTTCTTGAGAACTTGGATCTCCGGAGTCCGACCAATATTGGTTTGGGAATTGTACTGGTAAGTTGTCCCTTGAAACGTGTACGTAAACACAGGATAATACGATGTGTCGGTGGGCGTTTTGTCGCAAATGGCCACGGGAAGGATGCTGCAGTCGTCCAGTTCGTTGGAAACGGGAAGGGACGACGTGCCGTATGGACACTGTGTCTCCTTCACACCCGGGTCGGACGTCCCTGCTGGACAAAAGCTACCTTGCGGACAATTGAACCGAGTGCTCTCCGTGTCTTTCGTGCCGCGATAGCACACGTTGCCACTGGCGCACATGCGATCAAATTGTTTCGGATGGGTCGTCTCGGTCCCGCAAATGTACCCACCCGGACACATGTGAAAGTATTGCCGCTCGCGCGTCGTGGCTTCCCCACACACATATCCCGACGGACACGGAATGCTTTGGGTGAGGTTGTTGAGACCTACGACGTTGGTTTAAGAGGAGAATGTGGCGGGTGGCATTCAAACCTTGGAACCCGCAAATTCGACCGGCCGGACAAGGTTGGCAGTACGAAATGTCGGCAAGACCCGTGTCCGGAGACCACGTGCCCTCTGGGCACAGCCGACACGTGACAGAGTCCGCCACGGATCGATAGTACCCCGCAGGACAGATCTCGGGTATGTACACCCCGTAGCCTGCACAAGAGTAACCCGCAGGACACACGCGGCATTCGATGCTTGCCTTGAACGTGGAGAATGTCCCTGGGAAGCAAAGGGTCGGAGCAATCGACCCTTCCTGCTGCGAAAACGTCCCGAGCGGCACTTGCAATGGGAATTCCGTCCCCGGTGGACAGTAATGGCCAGGGTAACACAACGTGCTGGCAACTGTCCCCAACGGACAAAACGTGCCTTCTGTGCACGTTTGCTTGGCTGTTGCTCCGTCGGGTGCGGCGGGTAACCAGTCCATGATCAAGTTTTGCTTGACGCCACCCAAGCAGAACGTGCCGCGTGAGCATGGTATCGGCCGGAGTTGCGTGAGTTCGGACGGGTCGACCGTCCACGTGCCTTCGTTGCAATAAAACCCCGACGGGCATGTGACAACAGGAACGCTTAATCCCCACGACGAACAGACAAACCCTGCGGGACACAATGCTGGAGCTGTTCGTTTGTAACCTGGACAAATGTAACCCACAGGACAGAGCTCGCATGTCGACCGTGTCGACGCCGGCTGGTACGATCCAGGATTGCAGTCTGTGGATTTGACGTTCCCAACACCTGGGCAATACGTGCCTGGTGGACATGCAATGGCGTCGGTGGTCGAGGGACAGTAATAGCCTGTCGGACACGGGCCTTTCCCTTCAGGGGTGGCAGACCCTCTTGGACAAAAGAATCCGGCAAAGCACGGCTGCGGCGAACTAAAGTTTTTGAGTTGAGTCACGGGGGTCGCAGCCCCACTGCGGCAATACGTGCCCAACGGGCACACAAATGGCTTTTCAGGGAGAAGGACTGACGTGTTGCTGACGCATTGCCGCGTGAGGCAGTTGGGGTCTAGAATGTCTGGAGGATGTTCCAGGCGACGTGATCCCGTCGCTGGTCGCACGCGAGCGATGAAATTCCACGGGCGCGACGACACGTTGAACGTTGCGATGCCCGTTTCGAAATCCACGCCATAGTCCATTCGATTGTGAAAGTCGACGACATTGGTGGTTTTCGTGCCTGGTAAACAGTAATGTCCTTCGGGGCACATGGTTTCAGGCGATCGGAGGCCGTGCCGGTCGCACACAAACCCCGCCAGACACAGCACGGGCTTGGACATGCCAAAGTCCGGGCAGTAGAAACCAACGGGGCACGGCACACACGACTGCTGACCAGCACGAGGTTGAAACGTTGTCGGGGGACACAAGGAAAAGTTGCGGCTGTCTGCCGAAGGAGCAGTTCCATTTGGCACAAGCGCAATGTCGTGGCCGTGGCAGTAGCGCGATGCTGGACACTCGCGAACGTATTCAAATTGCACGCCGCTTGCCGTGTAGTCGACTCCGTTGCTCGTCACTTCAAACGAAACGAGTCCGACCGGATCGACTACGTCGCCGACTCGCGACGGTACGATGCACACCAAAAGCGTCGACGACACAAACGTTGCCGGCGACATGACGTCGCCAAATCGACATCCCAGCGCACTGGTGTTCATAAAGTTTAGTCCTTTCACAAACACCGGTCGCTGCCCTGTGACCAAGCTCTGAAGCGGCTGGATCACGCGCACTTCCATGTCGGCCACAAATCGGAATGCCAAACTGGCCACGGCTTCGTCGAGACCGTTCCACGTGACTTGGAGGGGCACGGTTCCAACGGTGTGTGGCGGCGACTCGCACTGGATCAAGGTCGAGTTCACAAACATCGCGGCGACGCTGGCAGTGCCAAAGCGACACGCGAGCTCGACGTGATTTTCAAAACCCGACCCGATGATGTGCACGAGCGTTTTCCCTCGCAGTGCTGGGCCCATGGAAGGCACCAACTTGGTGAGGATAACATTCGCCTTGACCGTAATGTTGACGCCCATCGACACGTCCAACCTGTTTGTTGTGAGTTGCAGCGCCAAAACACCGACGGGCACATTGCGAGGGGCAATGCACCGGAGCAACGTCGAAGTCACGACCACCGCCATCGTTTGCTGCGTCAGGTTCCATACACAGAATACGTCGCGCGGAGTAAAGTGGAAACCTCGAACGGTGATGGCGGTACCTCCCAGTTGGGTGACTGTTCCTGGCCACATGGAGGTTATCCGCGGCGTGGACGCGTACAGGAAGAAAGCGCCGTGGCTGGAAAAACTCGCGTTGTTGTTGGACGCGTGCACGAGTACAGCATTGGCTGCGGTATCTTCTTGGGGGGGAGTCTTACATTGAATCGAAGTGGGCGAGAGAAATGCCGCGACAACCCGCACGGGGCCAAAACGACAGACCAAGTGGGCAGAGTCGGGACGAAAGTGATTCCCGTACACTGTCACGAGGGTGCCGCCCCCCCGCGACCCGTGGCTTGGGCTTAACGAAGTCACCACCACGTCGTGCACCACTTGAACTTGCGTGCCAGACAGTGAAAACGTCACTCCATCCGAAGCGACTTCGACGACAACCGTACCAGGAACGTGACGAGGTGCGACGCACGTGATAAGCGTCGGGGACACAAAGGACGCAGCAATGCGCTCGTACCCAAACTGGCACACCAGTCGACGCGTGTTCTGGAACCCCGTGCCCAACACGCGCAGGACCACTCCGCCACTCGTTTCGACAACGGTCGGAAACACTTGCAACAATTCTGGACGGTTCATGTCGTTTTCGCCAGCCACAGCACTGGTTGGAATGTCCGCTACGTACAACACACTGCGCTTGGTGTCGACGCGCCCAAACGGCGACGACAGCACGATGACGTAGCTACCCGGACCTTGTTGCGGCGGACTCATGCAATGCACACTGTTTTCCATAACAAACGCCGGAACGGACGCCGATCCAATCACACACTCGGCGACGAACTCCAGGTGAAACCCGAGGATCTCAATGTCGCGGCCTCCCGTCAGCGAGCTTGTTCCTGGGCTTGCGACATCGACAACAGTCGGGGACGGGACGAACTCGAAAGGAACGACATCGATCGAGTCCGTGCCACTTCGTATGGTCAAGTTCACAAACCCGGACAGAGCACGAGGAGACACGCACGAGAATTGAGTGGGGGTGACGACGGTCGCAGGAATCACAGGGGCGGTGCCAAACGAACACGTCACATTTGGAGTTGCTTGAGCCATGTGGATGAGCAGTGTGGTCCCGCCCACCGTGAACGCTTTGGATGGCACCAACCGTTCGACACGATTGTTCACGGTGTAGGTAAAAGTGATATGCACGTGCGGCAACAGATCGTCGATCGACACACCCAATGACACGCTCGTCGACTTGTACTGCTTTTTTGCCGGCGGTGAGATGCACACGGCGGTGGAGTTGCCGGTCACTTCAGCGGATATGGCCGTGGCATCGAACCAGCACGTCAGGGTCGGACCAAAACCGCTGCCGGTGACATAAATGGAGGTTCCTCCCGTCACGGATCCACTGGTCGGGGAAATGCTGTGCACAAACACGGGGCGGAGAAAGGTAAATTGAACGCCCGCAGCCACGTCCGTGTCGACGTTGTTGTTGCTCACTCCGAACGATACGGACCCCGGGACGTGTTCGGGTGCAATGCACGTCAAGAACGTCGAGTTGATAAAGGCAGCCGGAACGAACACCCCTCCAAATGCACAACGCAGAGCACTCGAGTGCATGAAATGTGCCCCCCGGACCACAATCACCTTTCCTCCTTGATGCAGCGCCTCCGATGGCGTGACTTGATAGATTTGCGCAATCGGCACCGTCCGAAAGGACCCTGTAAATTCTGTGATGGCCGCGTCATGTTGGAAAATCGCCACTTGCAGTGCTTGTGGGGTCGACGTCGACGGCGACATACACTGGAGCTCGTACGGCGACACGAATGTTGCATGCGTTTGATATAGCACGGTCGTGTTGTCGGAAAAGGCACACGATAGATGGAGCGACCGATTGAAGTTCTGACCAAGGACGCGCAGAGAAGTCGTCCCGCGGGTCCCGCCAAACGGAGGCACGACATTGCGAACTCTTGCCGGAAGCATGTACGCGATCCTGGCCACATTGGAACGCATCGATGTGTCACGAACGATTTGGATCGTTCCCATCGTTGACCGAGACTCCAATGGCGGGATCGTGCAATTCATGACCGAACTAGACACAACGGTCGCATTTGTTTCGAGTCCGTCGATCCAGCACACCATGTCGGGCGAGAAATTTCTCCCCGTGACTTGAATCACGTCCCCCAACGCCCCGACACCAGACGCCTTTGACACGGCAGTGATCACAGGCGCGTTTTCAAACGTGAAAAGCACAGCGGTGGCCGAATCCACATCGACGCCGTTGGGACTCCACATGAGCTTCACCGTCGCTGCAGCGTGAGATGGGGCCACGCAAGACACAACAGTCTCGTTGTAATGAACAGCAGGGACAACGGTCGTGTCAAAATGGCACGCCATGGCGTGGGAGAAGTAGAAATGCAACCCGTGCAGCCAAATGGTGTCACCGCCAGCAGAGCTAGCAATCGATGGCGTCGCAGTATGTACAATTGTCGCCGTCATGTATCGAAACACAAACGGTGTGGGAAATAAATTCCCTTGTTCGTCCACGAGAGTCAGGGCAACAGTGCCTGGGACGTGCACCGGCGATTTGCACACCAATTCGCTCGACGCCACGAAAACTGCAAGCACAGCGCTTGTATCAAACTTGCACACGTAGCGCTTGGCCTGCTGGAATCCCAGGCCATACAAATGCACAGCGGTTCCTCCGTTTTCAGAGCCGACCAACGGTGCGACGCGGCGCAGTTGAAATGGCACCACGTACTCAAACACGACTTGGTTCGACGACACATCGACGCCTTCGTTAAGCGACACCTCCACGGTGGCTTTGGTTTGCATTTCGCCTTTGACGACGGGAAGGGCCAGTGGCGGGACCATGCAAAGCAGCACTGTCGATGACAACACTTGCGCTTCGACCAGCGCTGAGCTGAACCGACACCACGCAGGAGTCTCGAACGATGTTCCAGTCACTCGAACCAGCGAATCGACTTGGCCTTGACGTGGTGAAACAAAGAGCACTTGAGGGACTGTACGAACGACAAAGTGCTTTGCCGCAGGCGTGAAATCGCGTTTGTTGGAGGATAGCGCAACCTCGACCACCCCCGCAGGAAGCGGTGGCGTGGTGCACTGGATTTCGTTGGCACGAATCCGTTGGACAGGCACAAGGATCTGGCCAAATCGACACAGCAACGCTAAATGCAGGTTCGATCCGTGCAGCCGTAGGGGCGTCCCACCCGTGACGGGGCCGTTGCTCGGGGACAACTCGACAGCGACCAAGGGCGGATGAAAGCGCACGTTCGACACCGAGACAAACTCGACGCCGTTGTTGGTCACGTCGACACCAACCATGCCTGTTGCCATCGTCGCTGGAATGATGCATCGAGCGTGAAATGATGAAATGTACACGGCACCACCCAGCAGCGTAGTTCTATTCACTCGACATTGGATCGAAGGCAAAAAGTTGAAACCAAACACGTGCACAATCGCCTTGGTGTTTTCGACGCCGACAGAGGGAGCTGCGTTTTGAATCTGAATCGGCAAGACAAATTCAAATGGCTGGACGCTGCGAGTGAGCACGTCGTCCGACCGCGTCGTTCGTATCCCCAGAATAACCGACGCAACACGCTCGAACGGTGGGGTAATGCATTCAATTGTGTTGTCTGCGATCGATCTTGCTGGTACCCGAGCATCACCAAAGCTGCAGCTCACGGACTCGCGGATCGAGGTCGAGTCGAGAACAATGTGCACGGGGGTACCACCACCGATGGGACCATTTGCTGGCGTTATGGTGCGAATATGCCATGCCGACATGTACTCGAATTGAATCGACAGGGGCTCGTAGTGCATTCCGTTGAACGTAATGAACAAGTCGACGCTCCTCGGCGCGACGGACGGCGGAACGACGCAGCGAACCTCATTTGCAGAAATGTACCTTACCAGAACAGCGGCCGACGTGCCGAAACGACAAGCCGTGTCACTGGTTTGCAGAAAATTCTTACCGAGAATGCGAACCGTGACATTTCCGTCGACACGACTCGACGCTGGAACGACGTCAACACCTTGGGGCCGTTCGTACGTTGCCAGCGTTAGAGCGTTCGAGGTGTACTCGTAGCCACTCAGTCGTAGCGATAGAGTCACCTTTCCAGCGAGGGCACTCTGGCGCGTTTCACATGCAAGTTTGGATGTTGACATCACCATCGCTGGGGTGGAGTACGCTGGTGCGTTCGCCGCCGCAAAGTGACACTCGAGACCACTTGATGGGAGGTCAAACAACGCTTCGACGACAATGGGAACGCTTGCATGCCGTGAGAGAGTGGTCGGAGCGACGGATACGAGCGTATTCGGTGAAAGCAGTTGAATATGCCATCCCGTCCAAACTACCTCTTTGCCATGTAGCACCAGGTGCACAAGGACATACGACGCGCTCACGTTTGGAACCGCACACGCAATGGTAGAATTCTCCACAAACGGCACGCCGGGCGCGGTCCAGTTGGCACTGGGGGTCTCGAAGAGGCAACTCCAGTTGGACAGCACCGCTGCTGCTTTTTGCACTGTCAAATACACGGAGCGTGCTCCAAGGCCACACAAAACTTGAGGGAATACGTGGGTAACGACAGGGGAATCGACGTAGGTAAAATTTACGTCAGGAACCAGTGGTCGGCGGTCCTGAGTCACCACAATGGTTAGAGACACAGTCGACGCATTGCGATGCGCAGGAACTGTGCATTGCAACCACGATGCGTTGCGGACGGTGGCTGGGATGAACACTTTGCCACCAAACCAGCAGCCCAAACGAGGATCGAGGTCGTGGCCTCGAACATCAATGACCATGCCACCACGAGTCAAGCCAGACAAGGGAGAGATGGACACGACTTGGCTGAACAAGACAGAATAATTGAGGTCTGCCATGCTGGGAGACATCGGGACTGCCGATCCGTTCGCGATCAATCGAAACGGAACACGGGTGCCAACATTCAGCGCCGGAGCGTCACAGAGCACAATCGTGGGTGAAATGTACAGGCTTCTCGAAGTGGCGTTGCCAAAGGCACATGAACAATACGTGCCGTCGCTTTGGCTGCATGTGGCAAACCCACGACCCACGACAGCCACTTGCTGGGACGTGTTCACGACAGCAAAGGCCGGATGGAGCTGGAACACTTGCATGGGGTCGGGTTGAACGTACAGATGAGTTGGAACGGTGACAAAATCCACGCGATTGATTGAAATCTCAAACTCCAACCTGTCACTGTTGGACACGTTTGCAAGTGTGCAGTCCACGACGGTTGAATTCACCACGCTTGCCAAGTACGCCGTGCCGCCTTTGGTACGCAACCACACGGTCGAGTTGTTGGGTAGGGGGGGTCGGACGGTCGTACGAAGTTGCAGGCCCATTGCGGTCCAATGGAGGGTTAATCGCGCCACTTGAGGGACATTCACATAATGGTACGTTAGTGTCGATGGGATGGGAGAATCGTCTGCGACAACCGACAACCGCACGGATTCGCTCGACGTGTGTGGAGGTGCGTTGCATAGAATTGTTCGTGTCGCCGATTCATAGCTCGCTGGGCTATGCCGCAATCCAAAGATGCATGTCAAGCTCAACGAAGTGTGGGGGAACGTGCCGTACACGCGCACGAGTGTGCCTCCTTGGACACCACCGCGATCTGGAAACAATTTGGAGGTTGTGAACGGCTTTGGAAAGGTAATGGTCAACTTGTCCGGCGCCGGCAGGACATGGAATGTGCTCCACACGACTGAAAACGGCATCGGGTCGTCGTGGTGGTCCCCATCAGGAAATGCACACTGCAATCGCGTGGCAGAAACGACAACCCCAGACGTATTTTGCCTCGATCCAAAGCAACAATCGATTTTCGCCGCCGCGTCGTGAAAGTGACCCCACACATCGACGACAGACGTCGACCGCACTTGGACGGACGTGATCGCCATGGGTCGAACGTACGTGAATGGGACAGGTGTTATGGGTATCGGTGCATACCCTGCGATCATGATCGACACGGTGGTGTTGGAGGCCGCGTCCACATTCCTTGGGACCGTGCACGCCACCGACGTCGATGTTTTCTCCAAGGCTAACGACAAGTTGTCGGTAGGGCCAAACCGACAATGCGTCACGGCCATCATGTTGTACCCAGCCAGGTATAGTTTCAAGCCAGCCCATCCAAACAGCGGGGACGGTGAGCGATGCACGCTCGGCACGGGGACAAAGTCGAATGCACTTGTCCACAACACGTTACGACGAGACACCACTTGAAACTGTGCTGTTCCGCTCGAGCGACGAGGCGTCTGGCAAAGCAACAATGTGTGCGACAAATGGATGGCGGCGGAGACGTCACGGTCGAAGCGGCATTGCACGTTGTGGGAATATTCAAAGTTCAGTCCCGTCACGTTGACGAGCGTTGGAAAGTTTGCAATGCCAGTCGACGGGGCCACACTCTGGACAACTGCCGCGGCTGTATACACGAATTGCAATGGCGTGGTCACCGTGAAGTCGCCAAACTGAAGGGATAGTTGTGCTACTGAGACCGCCGTTGCCGGGGGAACTTTGCAAGTCACTTCGTGTGACGATACCCACCGCCCAGGAGCTTGCACGGTGCCAAGGACACATGCAATGTTGATCCTTGGGAAGTTGGCCCCCATAACGCGAAGATTGTAGCCACCTTGAATTGCACCGCTCGTGGGCTCCATCGACCATTGATCCGTTCGCATGCCGGGCAAAACCTTGATGTCGACCGTGTTGGACGGGATGGACTCCAGCGCTACGACATGTAAAGTTATCCGGGACGGCCATTTCTGGCCCACCACTGCACACCGCACTTTTGTGGAGGATTCAACCGTAGCGTTCACGCGATAGAGTGTACGGTTTGCAGCTGCAAAGACACAGGTCGTCGTGGTATCGAAATTCAACCCGTAGATTGCCATCGAAGCATCCATGTTGTCAACGAGGTATTCCGGCGAAGTGGCCGTGACGATGGGGGTGGCTCGAAAGTCAAACGTGGCATTCCATGCAGGTTGGAGATCGTTGTCAGGGTCGAGGAAAACACCCAGCCGAGCTCGACCTGCGGCGTGATGCGGCGCTCTGCACACGATCGTGGTCGAGTTGATGTACATGGCTGCTACGTTGACCAGGTCAAACTTGCACTCAAGCGTTGTCGAGTAGGGAATGTACGACGCCGTAATGGCCACTAGAGTTCCACCGCCACCGATTGCTGGCCGCACACTTGCCAAAACTGGTGTGGCCAAGCATCGAAAGGTGAATGGCACGGTCCGGCGAAACATTGTTGCCGGAGCCAACGAAAACGTGACATTTCCTAGAGCTTGGCATGGGGCGAGACAATGGATTTCTGTCGGGGACACCACGTGTGCCTCCGACACCATGTCTCCAAACACACACTGAAGTGTGGAATTCGTCGTCAAGAGGGCGTCAAAGTGCTCTCCTTGAACAGTCAGTCGCGTGGGGTTGCTCTCAAAACCAACCAAGGGCGAGACACGAGCAATAGTTGCCACGGCTCGTACGACAGACAGTTCGATCCTTGGGTACAACACGAACTGACGACCTTCGTTCGTTGACAATTCGACAGAGAATATGGCCGACTCGGTCCCGAGTGTTGGGGCTGGGCAAGTGGCCACAGACGCACTTGTCACGTTGCACGGGTACACAAGCCGTTGGTCGTATCGGATCCACAAACTCGGGAGAAACCAAGCGCCGCGAACGTCGATGCGCGACCCATATGCAGCCACGAGTGGCGTGATCGAGTTTAGTGCAGGTCCAGTGGTAACATGCAACACGGCCGAATACAACGCCCTGTCGTCGTACTCGATGGCGATCGAGGCGTTGCCCGGCGACAGCGCCGACGACGGAATTGTGCACGTCACGACGACGCTTGATACGAAGCGGACGGGATATCGAAACGTCGCATTCACAACACAGAAGGATGCGGTCAAAGGGCGAAAGCGGTTCCCGGTCACTTGGAGTGTTGTGTCTGCGTTGGTGAGGAGGAAGGATCCCGTGAAATTGGGTACGACGGTGTGAACGACGGGAAGCATCCCTCGCGTCACCGTGTACGTGCGCAGGACGGCATTGGATGATGCAACTCGAACGTGCAAGATGGTTGTGGGGGTTTGAGCTGTCGGTAAAGGGCATTGAACCATGTGTGGCGACACATACTCGACTGGAAAGGACAAATGACCAAAGTCGCAAGTCAAGTTGGCGTTCAAACCCGCGCCAAAGAGTCGGATGTGCGGTTCTTGGATGGAATATGTGCTGCTGAGAATGGTTGGTCCCGAAGTATCAGACCATGTGATGGACTCCAGCACTTTAGACGCCTCAAACCACACGTCGACAACCATGTTGGGCGTGATCGAGTTGGACGGGACAACGCACGCCAACCCTGACGAATTTCGGACCAGTGTTCCAGGCACCATGGTGGTCAAGTTAAACTTGGGGGTGTGGACGGCACACGTGTACGTGCCAAGACGAGAGTACTGCCCGACGCCATACACCACCACAGAAGCATTCGTTGGATCGAGGCGTTCGATTGCCATCGTCGCCTTGATCGGTAGGGAGACGTACTGAAATGGCATACTGTTGACACTTTTCTCCTGGCCATTGCAGCTCACGTACACATTTACCAACTCGTCCAAGGCCGATATTGGGGCAGTGCACACAAGCGCTGAGCCGTTCAATACCAGCGCGGGCACAGCGGACGTCCCAAACAGGCACTGCCAATGCCCGTCATGGCGGAAATTCGTTCCCCGAATCATCACTTCGGTGAACATCACCGTCGCTCCCGTACGTGGGGTCAAGTGGTGAAGCGTCACCCTGGGAATATACAGCAAGTCCCACGATGAAGTCGCAGGGGTGGCAAATTCGTTGTAGCTGAATGAAACGTCGAGTAAACCAGGCTTGGACGGGGGAGCGACGCACGTAAACTGCCTCGGTGTCACGTACGCTGCTGGAACCGTTCGGGTCGCACCAAACCGACACTGCAACGACTCGACCTCGCCAGCCATGTGGGCGGCCAAACGAATCGTCAAGACTGCACCCCCGGACTCAAACACTTGACGGGGCTGGACATCGATCACTTGCAGCGGGTTGTGCACAGACACTTGAATTTGTCCGACGGGGGAGCGCTGGTTGTCCCATATTTGGATAGTGTGGAGTCCAAGACTCGACGGCAGAAACGGACAGAGGATGGTGGTGGTATTTACCACTTGCGCCAGGCCATAGACGTCGCAAACAAATGCGTCATCCGCTCGTAGTCGATTCAAATCAACGTGGATGTGGACCAAAGTGGATGCGTTCATCGGCACGATCGCTGGTCGAACCCCTTGAACTCGAAGGGGTTCCACGAACTCGAACGTCAGCACGTTGTCCACGACGATATCATTCCAAAGTAATGCCAGCGAGACGGCGTCGACGTGCAGCGATGGCGGGGACAAGCATACCACATGCGACGAGTTGACAACCATTGCCGGCATCGGTTGTGTCCCAAACCGACAGATAAACACCCCCGTTTGAACGGGAAAGTACCCCACGAGATACACCTCAACATCGCCATACAGCGTCGCGCTGCCGGGAATGGCCGTTCGCACGTAAAACTCGGGCGCAAATTGAAACGCCAGCGAATTGGAGTAATCGATGTGGTTGTTTGTGAGAGAAATGCCAACGACATGACGAGACTGGATGTGAGCTGGTGTCATCTCCAAGTGGCAACGCACGGCCGTTGCGTTGACAAATTCGGCTTGGACGTGGATTTTGTCGTAGTTGCACCACAAGGTCTCTCTTGGCGAAAAGGGTGAACCGAAGAGGACAACTTGCGTCTGCCACGTAACTCCAGAAGAAGGAAACATCGACTCCAAGTGCAGTTCGGGAACGATTTGGACCGTGCCAACGCGGGAGAGAACCTGGTCATTCCAAGCCACGAATAGATCGTACGTTCCAAATGCCAGCATCTTGTCCAAATGGCACAGCGCAAGCGATCGATTGACATATTGCGCAGCTGTAACGATCGCTTGCGACGCGTCGTTGACCCAATGGCAATGCTCAACTGGGAGCAGGTCGACACCACGGACCGCGACCCTGGCGCAAGTCGTTGTGACATGTACTATCGTCGGGAAAACGTCGATTACTTGGGGCAGCCCAGAGTACGTAAACGGTTGCCTCGCGACAACGACATCGTCGTTCACCGTGACCGTGATATGGACAACCTTTGGCTGTGCGCTCGCCGGCGCCAAGCACACAAGAAGAGTCGAATTGTAAAACACTGCAGGTACACTGTCGCGTCCAAAGGAACAAGCATGCCGCGCCTTGGGCGAAAAGCCAGCCCCCATGACGTGCACCAACGTGTCTCGTAAAGTTGTGGTCTCCGTTGGGTGCACCAGAGAGACGACAGGTTGGGCCATCCATTCCATCTTGAGTACATTCCGAGCGATCTGGTGCTTGTCCAAGATAAGCGTCACCGTGTACGTGTTGGGAGAGAGCGCAGCGGGCACGGGACAGATCAGTTTGAATGGAGAGATCCACCGTGGGCGAGTCTGCGCGATCGCTTGACCAGACAATCGAAAGTCGCATTGACATTCCGTTGGAAGGTTGTACCCGAGCACCGTTACCTCAGACGAGTTTGATCCGACCACCAAATTGGTTGGCTGCAACGACGCCAAAGTCGCGGGCGACACGATCGACAGCGCCACGCGGTTGCTGAGTGCTTGGCCGTTGGATGTAATCGACAAGCCAACGTCCATCGATGGCGGGACTCTTGGCGAAGGGCAGAACGCAGTCGTCGCGTTTACAATGGTACCCGCGGTGATGATTGGGGTCGTCCCTGCAGTGATCTCAAACTGGCATTCGATTTCCCGTGTCGAGTTTGTAAAAGACCCCGTGAGTTGCAGCAGTGCCGTCCATGTCGTCAGGATCGTGGATGGCGTCACGGCCTGTATCGTGGACGGGGGTTCCGCAGAAAACAAGGCCGATGCCCGACTGGTATGGCTCTCCATGGCGACTGCTATCACGACGACGGACGGGATCGTTACCAGTTGCGGGACGGTACAAATCATCGCCGTTGCATTCCCAAACGATGGTCGAACGAGTTGATGGCCAAATGCGCACATGGCTTGAGGGGGAAAGGCCGACCCCATGACCGTGACGTTGGTAAAGTCACTCCCGTGCGTTGGTGTGATGGATACAACGATGGGGTCTGGTAATATCGACACCTGGAGTAGCTGTGGCACAAGAAAGGAGGATCCGTCAAAGCCGTACCGAAGGCCCACATCGTACACCCCAGGGTCGAGACGGTCCGTGAGGTCGCAGTTGAGTTGAGTTGGACTGATCCATGTCACGGACGAGGTCATGTTGCCGATGCGACATCGGTACTCTGTTGAATCAATAAAGTGAACGCCGTACAACTTGACGACGGTAATAGTGGATGCAAACCCCACCACCGGGTGGACCGACGTCACTTGTGGAGGCTCCACCAACCAGTACATGAGCATGTTGCTGCGCTGGAAGGCGTCTTGACTGGTCTCGTAGAACATGATGCTGACGGCGGTGGTCGGGACTCCTGGCGAAAGAGCGGGTAGGACGCAATGTCCATGTGTCGTGTTGATCACGTCAAGCGTGACATTCACCGTCCGATTGACTGAACAAGAATACGAACGCGACGCATTGAACGCCGACGAGACGAGATAGATCGCGCCTCCCCCGACGGTGCCCATCCGCGGCGTGATGTCCACCAATTCCAGCGGAATGTCGCGTACGAGCACACGATTGGACACGTCCAGTCCGTTGAACGAGAGTCCGATTTGAACAACGTGAACGGACAGAGGACAAATCACTGTCGTGCCGTCCGAGCCACGCCTCCCGCGTACAACACGGCTGTCTGCGTGGCAAGTTAGGTTCAAGTCCTTCGGGATGGGAGTGGATGCGTGGACCAAAACGTCGCCATCGTCATCGTGTCGATCAGCGAAGGCAATCATCGGTGGGTCTTGATACACGAACCATGCCGACCAGTTTTGAATTCCGGTCAATGAGACTGGGACTGTCGTGGTATTGCCTTGCTGAGGAGGAGAGCGACATGATACGTTGAACGATGATAACCACGTAGCTGGCACTGTGGCATTGCCAAAGTGACAGCTCCATGTGGCGGCATCGGGAAACCTTGCTCCTTGGAACACAATGTTCGTCCCACCTCGTCGCTGGCCAAGCGCTGGACTAAACGCTGTCACTTGGGGGTCGCTCTCGACTTGGAAACTCAACGGCGAGCTGTCGCCGAATGTGAGGTCAACCAGACCATCGCTCGCCATGGGCGGGGTAATGCATTCGGCGAACGTGCTGTTGGCGAAATTCGACGGCACGGCCACTTCCCATGTTTTCGTGCGAAACACGCATGGCGCAGACGAAGCAAAATCGCGACCATACAAATACAATCGAGTGCCGCCGCTTCGAACGCCACTGGACGGAAGCACTCGATGGAGAATCGGCATTGGGGTGTATGTAAACGCCGCTCCAGTGGGAACGGTCAGTTGATTGTTTATCGCCAGCGAAATCGACCACGTTGACGTGGCAGGACGTTTGGGTAGCGTGCATGTGACTACCGTAAGGTTGAATTCAATCGCCTCGACGGTGACAAGCGCGACGGGCGTTCCATTGAGTTGCTGCAGGATACACGACACATGGGTCAAGTTGACGACATCGCCCAGCGTCCACTCGATGGTAATCTTGGTGTTCGGCGGTCCTGCACACGGTGAAATTGCACGAAACGATGGCAACCTCGCGACTGGAATTCTCAACATGTTTGACTCAAAATGAACAGCATTGTTGGCAACTTGAACGTCCAGGTAACCTGGAGTCGACAACGTGGGAGGCAAGCACGCAACTTCGTTTGGGCTCCGCCATAGGGCTGGGATCGTGGCGACTACGCCCGAGTCGTTGGAATATTGGCACGACAACCACTTCGTATCTTTGAAATTGGAGCCACGCAGGAATTGCTGTTGTGGTCGTAGAGTCCACAAGAGACGGGGCATCACACTGTCGAGGTTTGGGCTTTCAACAAGGCCGTACACGATTGCGTTCGTCGATATGTTGGTGAATAGGTCGTTGGCACTTGTCCACAGCGTCAGGGGAACTTGGGTCTCATTTCCGGGAAGCACGGGTGTTGTGCATGTGGCAACCGTGCTGTTTCGAATGAAGCCAGGCGATGCAATACTCCCAAACTGGCACCACGCGACTTCTCCTGGATAGAAATTCGATCCATGCAATTCCACCAAAGCACCACCTGTCGTCGATCCAAAGGCAGGCACCACAGCAGTCACGATGGGACTTGGTTGCACGGTGACCGTCAAAGACGACGCAAGAAAGGTCTGACCGCGGTTCACACTGACACTGATAGGGACGATTTCGCCACTCTCGACACCATCCACGACGCAAAAAACCAAGTCGTCGGTGGCATTCAAGACAATTTGCCGTTTGGTTCCAAACGAGCAGTGGGATGCAGCGCGCAAGCCATGGCCGTGGATGCGAATGAACTGTGCCGCTTGGGCTGAAAACAAAACCGCCGGCGATACCGATCGCAGGCTCGACGTTGGCTGGACTGGAAGGCCTGAGCTCCACTCTTGCAAGTTCCAACTGAGTGTAATGACTTGGCCACCGTCATGACGGCACCGAACGACGGTCGATTGGTTTGTCCATTCGCCAAACGTCGTGGCGTTTTCCATCCTGCAATAGACCGAGGGAGGCTCGCGATCTTGCCATTTCGACTCCACTTGCACGGAAACACTAGAAGACGTAACCTCAGTGATACCGACAAGTTGCGGCGGGTCAAGGTAGGTGAAGTTATGCGGCAGCGAGAGGATTTGGTTTCCCACGAGAACCTCCAACGTCGAGGACGTGCTTGGTTGTGATCTCGGCGGAGTCGTACACTCCACCAGGGTTGCATTTACGTACTGCCCTTCGACGGTGGTCGTACCGCCAAATCGGCACTGGAGTAGCAGCGCCGTATGAAAGCTGTCACCACGAATCTGGATGCAAGTGCCCCCCTGGAAAGTCCCTACCATGGGTGTGAACGAAGCGACTCTACTGGGCGGAACCACTTCGATGTCAGACGACAACAACGTGTATTCGTGCCAGAGAAGTCGCACGACACCAACGCCAATAGTCCCTGTGGGAACTGTGCACGATAACGTATCGTTGTTGATCGCAGGCGCCACAAAGACCGCACGTTGAGTTGCAAAGTCAAAGCTGCATGCCACGACAGGGTTGTTGCCGTCTGTATGAAGCGAGTCCCATTTGGCTTGTGCAACAAATGGAGAGCCATATCCGAGCACTTGGACGCGATCGTGGCGTTCCATGTGCAAAGAGGTTTCGTCAACGTAGCGGAATGGCATGGTCCACAAAACAGTTTGCCACTCCAGGACAGACACTTCAACGGCAGGGCTGTTCCAGCCTGGCGGCAGTGGCGGTGCGTCGCACTGAGCAATGGATTCGGACAGCACAAGAGCCCTTACCGCGAGAGTCAGGTTGGAGACATCGCTGTGGAATTGACATGATAGCGCGGTCGAGAATCCTGTGCCTTCAAACTGAATCGTGGTGCTGGCTTGGACCAACCCGACGACCGGGAAAGCATGCGTGACCATTCCAGTTTGTACGTACTCAAACGTCAACGAGTTTGTTGCATAGGGTCTGCGCTCGTACAACAGCTGCACTTGCACAATTCCTGACTGTGTCGATGGAGGCACCGCACATTCAACCTCGAACGCGTCGAGATGCGTTGTTGCTTGAGTGATGCTAGAACCAAATTGACACAACAGATTTGGTAAAACCGGTCCGTTTGTGCGGATCACCACGGTGGTATTGACGTCACCACGAACTGGCTCAAGACCAAGCAGCGTCGGCGGGTCTTTGTACGTGAAGTACCTCAGCGTGGTAGATGCAAGTTGGTTGTCAACCAGCAACGCGACGTGGACAGATGCCGGAGAGTCTGTCATCGGGACCACGCACGACACGGTGGAGGTATTCTCTTGCGCGACTTGTCCAGGGGACGAGAGGTCGCCGAAGACGCATCGCACACTCTGAAACTCCATTGGAAGGGGCCGGTCAAGTGCTACCAGAACAGTGTCGCCACCAAATCCATTTCCGGGTGTTATCGACTTGATCGCGCGAGAAGCGAAAAAGGTGAATGGGAGAGAGGCAAGTGGCTCAACGCTGGCAAACCCCAGAGATACGGTGACGTGGAGGTCGGATGGAAGCCACAGCGTCGGGACACGGCAAGTTGTCGTCGTTGCGTTAATCACAGTCGCCGCGACTGGGCCCGCGATGCCAAAGTGGCATTGCAAGTTGCTTTCAGCCACATCCAAGTTGGCCATGGTTCCAGTCAACCAAACCTCCGTAGCTTTGGCTGAGCTCCATGCAAACGCTGGAGAGACAGAGAACGCCGCTGTCGTAATTGCGACGGCGACATTGTCTGATGTGAAGTCCACGGAGTTGAACGAGAGCTCAACCAGCGCGAGTACATTTGGTGGAGTTGTCGGTACTGGGCATCGAATACCCTTGGCTTCGTCAACCACTGCTGGTACTTGCGCGATCGTAGCTCCAGTCGTCGCCGACTTCCACCAGCACGCCACCGACAACGTTGTCGGAAATGCTGTCCCCGACACGGTCACCATATCTGCTGGGCGCACGAGCGGCGGGAAAATGGTTGTCACGTGCGGAGTCTCTACAACGCTGGTTCAGCCCACATTTCAGTCATGCAATTGTGAACGTACCATACACAATATACGCGTCAAGGGCGGGCACGAAGCGTTTGCCGTCCAAACTGACAAAGATCGACACATTTCCCACCTTCCGAAAAAACGGTGTGATGCATTCGATGGTTGTCGAGTTGACGATGGTTGCTGCAACGTGATAATCTCCGTCGAAACGACAGGTCATCGTGGGCGAAGCCGCGACAAAATTCATTGTGACCTGAAGACGTGTGTTGCCTGCTGCCGGGCCTCGGCTTGGCCATACTCGGCTGACAGCCAACTCGCCTATGTGATTGTGGGCTCAGCATACCAACCCATTTTGACAACGTCCCAGTGCATCCATGTGAACGTACCATACACAGTCAATGGAAACGAGGGAGAGACGTCGGCACCGTTATTCGGTGTGAACACGACGTCAGTCGGTCGAAGAGGGGCTAACAGCGGAACGACGCATTCGACCTGCGTCGGTGAAATGAACTTGGCATGAGTCGTTGCGCCACTTGAAAAGACGCACGCCATGTCGATCGCGTTGGGAAGGTTTTGGCCAGTCCAAACCAGCACGGAGTGCTCCGTCACGGCAAGCGGCGACACCCCCGACACGGTCCATGTATCTAGCAACAAGTGACAGTGTGCTTCGTTTCAAGGAGCGACGAACCATCGTAACTATATCGGATGATGTTGGACCAAATGCTAAAGCCGTCGGTGACGACAACAAACGTGTCTTTCGACGATTGCATGGCCGACGCTGTGCAACTTGCATTGGTGAAACTGGTTGCCACGAGCGGCACTAACTCGCTCGCTCCAAATTGACAATACAGGTCGCCTCTGTCCAACTCCGAGCCAAATAAGCGGATGACAGTGCGTCCTGCCGCTCGTCCATGCGTTGGAGAGATGGACGTGAGCTGTACAACTACGACAAGCTCAGTGATCGAGTGTATTTGGCTGTTCCATGCGTTCATGATACGAGCGAGCCAGGTTACCTCTTCTTCCATCTCCCTCAACCTTGGACAGCTGCAACTGAATGAACGACAGCTCTGACACGTCGAACGTCGCGGACGAACTGCATTCGACCGAGATGAGTTCGTTCCCGTAAAATGCATTGAGTCGGGAATAAGCCATCGACTGGAGCGTCTGCTGGACGTCAATTGCAAGGCCATGAAACATCAGCACCCGAGATTGAGCCGTGCGACTGCCGATGGTAAACATGGCATTTGACGGCGACGAAAGACTCAAACGGCCAAGTGGCGAATGCACTTGCAGTCGCACAAACACTTGACCACCTATCGGAGCAAACTGCAAGGTATACCCTCGCAGGACGATGGTCGGGTTGACAGTGTCGACAGTGGACGGGTCATTTCGATCAAGAACTTGGATTGGAATCGACGCGGACGTCGTGAGTTGGCTCTTGTCGTCCATCGCGACCACTTCCAACGACTCGACATGCTGCAACGAGTTGAAGTCCGCGTCGGGGATGTACTCGATCGTCGCCAGTGCCTCGTTGACGTCTGTCACGTTGCCATAGAACGCCATGCGCGCATCCCCTGCGCCGGACCCAATTGTAAACACAACGGTGGCGCGCGGGATCGATCGAAGATTCAACAGCCCTCCAGACACCTGCAGCGACACGGACACCACTTGCGGGATCATGCCAACGTCAGTTGCGGACATAAAGTCCCCCTGAATTTTCAGACCTTGAACGACGACAGAGCCGCCCTCAGCCACAGATGATTGAGTGAGTGGGACGACGAGGGTGGGAGGCACGGGATCATGGGTTATGGTAACTCCAATCACGGTGGATCCAGCAAAGACTGGTTCGATTTCGTATTGCTTGGCGTCGTTTACACGCAAGGTGATGGTGTCCGAGCCGTACCACATGGACGGAGGGATATACTTGAGCGTGGCCAACGCTGCATTGATGTCCGACAGGCGGCCTTGCATGATGGACGGCGACATAAACGACACCCCTTCACTTGGTCTGCGCACGTCAAGGATTCCTTTGGCAGCAACGAACGACACAACGACAGCGTAGTTGATTTCGACGACACTGTCGGGGCTGGCGTCTTGAATAAATACCGGTGGAGTAATCGGGATCGGATGATTCTCGACGCCCGTCAACGCGGTCGATCTCGCGACGATCTCGGGATTGTCTATCCACGAATCAATCTGGACCGTCAGTTCCACGATCTGATCGTTCTTGCTAATGTGGTTCAGAATCGTCATGACGTCTTGGGCATCCAACCCTTGTTGGTACTGCCACTGAAGTCGGATGACGTGGGTTCCAGACTGCAAGTGGAGGACCATCGATCCTTCCGCCGTTTGAGCTCCTCGTGACGCTCCGCTGACTGTGCTGCCAGTGGCACGGTACGGCTGGTTGTCCACGAGCAACCGTGCGGCAACGTCTCCCACGTCCAGTTGGTTGAAACTCAAGAACGTTGGATGTCGCAGGAACTGAACCGGGAGAAAGTAGTGCACAAGAACATTCGATGCAGAGGCCAAGTGAAAGCGATGGGGCGAGCCCACATTAAACCAAAGCGATGACGGCACGCCCGAATAGATCGTCGGGTCCCTCGACACTTGAACGATGTCATTGACGGTCTCGCCCATCACAGCAAGCAGGCGGCCCATCATGAAACCATCGTTGAACGAAGGGATGGACCGCCATTTCCGCCCGGTCGGCGACGTCAGCCGCCACATCACCGTCACGACATGTTTCCCCGATGCTAAAGGCAGTGTGATGTCTCCCATGAGGAGGCCAGGCTGGCTGAACTTAGCTTGCGTCAACAGCATAGCACTCGACTCGCGGAACCGGGCGCCGTCTACTTCGACGATGGTGTCGATTTCGTCCAATGCATATCCAGCTACGAGTGAAGATCGATGAGAGATCCAAATTAGAATGGGGACAAACCTCCTTCGACGGGCAACGCGTCAGGCTTTGCTGGAATATGGTACAACACGCGCACATCCATTGCGGTCTCCAACGTGAACGATACGGTCATGACTGGTTCCCACGTCAGCGGCTTGGTCACAGCGATCGTTGTCAGCGGCTGTGAATACCATATTCCGGAATGCTGCGCGGCCACAACCAGCGAGCACCCCCCTGAAAACCCTGTGCCAACGTCTGGGTTGATGGACCATTTCGCCACGTAAGTGCCGAGTTTTTTCCACTGTAGGCGTATTGAATGGTTCCCAGAGGCAAGTGGTGTGGCCCAGTACCCGCTGATAAGAGACGATTCTGTTTGAAAATACCCTGTGAACGCACCAGACTGCCGCGCTGGAAAAGCATCGACAACGACACGAAACGCAAGAAGATCGTCGCTTCCTCTAGCCCTCGTGTCATCGATGATGGCCAACCCACCTGTCGACGGCAGGGAAGGAATCTCTGGAAATACCGTCACGGAGTATGACACGAGTACAGTTGTGGGGCGCGGAAGGAATGTGTACACTTGAGCGTCGGGAATGTCTTGCCATTTGTCGTTGGTTGTGATGGTCACGTAGTGCAGAGGACTCGCGCTCCACAACGAATGGAACGTCACATCGACTGCCGCATGGACGGCAGCAAGTAGGACGAGAAGCAACATGACTCTTTTCATCAGTTCAGGCAAGATATGGAGCTTCATGGGCTCCCCCTGTCACTTCCGCCAGTCTCTTCCACGCGATGATGAACTTCCGACCGCAAAATCTTCGAGATTCCAATGACCTTTCAAAGTTGGGAATTCTCGAGTGTCATTGGTCAAATATGGAGGTCACTGGCCAATCGGCGAAAGGGATCAGTGATTTTGCTATATCGATAATTAAGAATTGCAAATTATTCGCAAATAGCAAAATATATCTCCTTTATGCGAAGCACACTACAGAGTCGATCGGAGGCGGCGGTGCTGTTGCTTGAGTAGCTCTCTCCGCTCTTTGTCGTAATACTCTTGGCGCGACTTGATGTCCGAGTTTTGAGGTAGGTCGTGGATGGACACGGTCAAGTTGTACCTGGATTCGCCGGGGCCGTAGCCAAACACTCCAATGTATAGCGCCATGTGCTTGGCGTGTCGAGGAAAGTCGGGAAGGTATGTCGGCAGCGCAACGTGATCGTTCCCGGGGTTTTGTGCAATCCATGACGATTTGCCCCGCTGGGGCAGTGGGTTGTCTGCGGACAGGTACATGTTGGCGTCGCCCGTGATCGACGTCAGGTTGATGTGGACAACGTGTTGGTGCTCGTGTCGCGCAATGCAAACTTGATAAAACATGTACTCGTCTTCTAAGACTGTGTTGTTGAATGCCATGTGGGGCAAGAGTCGGGAGCCACCGCCAACGACCGTCTGGGAGATCGATTGCTCCTCCAGAGCAATGGACGAGTCAGCCATCAAGACAAACTCGTCGAAACCTGTGCACCAGTTGGCCGCTTCCGTGTCCTCCTCCATCGCAGGTGTCGCGACGGCAGGAGTAAGGCTCCATGAAGTGCTTGTCAGAAGGCATACCACGGCGGAGGCGAACTGCACGGACCGTCGCGGCCGCACCCGCCACCTTCGCCCCATCGAAGACGCAGAAAACCGCTGTTGCACAATTTGAGCATTTTTCTGATTTATTCCGAGGAGTCAGTCACTCCATGAAAGGTCGTGAAGTCGAGGCGTCTTCGCTGGCAGTCGCGCTCAACACGAGTCGACGGCACCACGATGACTACATCCAACTGGACTACGCCCGATTTCGAGGCCCCCACGACGCCGACATGTCGGCCTCGCTCGTGTTTATACGTCCGGTGGCTGGTTCGTCTCCGTGGATCGAGGCATGGAAAGTTGCAAGTTCGTTTCGACGTTTCAAGTTTGATTCGTCCACCGCGAGGAACGCGACTCGGTCCAGACAACACGGTGCGCAGGTATGCTCCACGGGATATCGTGGCAAAACTGTGCAGGCTTTCGCTCGAAGGAACTTCGCGACGTGAGTTGGTGGAACGGGATGAGATGTGAAGGGGACCAAAAGTACCGCACGAGATCCCAACGACAAGGGAGCAGCGCGCCGTTGCGGGGATGCTGGACGTCGGCATTTCTGTTCAGAAATAAGGTTGCCCACCGTCGACATGGAACGTTTGAGGGCGATTGATACTGTTCGAGGATCATAGCAAAACTGATTCAAGTGCTGCGCGCGTTGAATGCGACGTCGAGCTTTGAAGTGCATGGAACGCGCTGAACGCAAAGGACAACCGTGCGAGGTGGCTCGTGGCAATTAAATATGGCAATGTCTACCCTTTGCTGAAGTTACGACAGAAAGTACTGGAGCAGCTCAATGTCGTGCGCCTCGAGCATCGTGTCGTCCGGGACACTCCACGAAAACGTACTTGCGGCGAATACCTGGTCGTCCGGGCTGTTGGGACTTCGGCACCATGGTTGGTGGTGGTGCGTGGCAGGTGTCTGGATCATCACGTGCGGTTCTCTCGCCTCGACTCGTCGGGGGTCTCGTCGACCAGCGTGCTTCGATATGGGCTTAGATTCTGCGGGTTGCGTCGGAGTCGCAACGAGTTGACAATTCGGCATCGGAGGGCGACGGGCGAAATGTTAAAATGGCGATGCGCGCGCGCGCGGGATGTGGTGCTCGCCTCGTCAACCTCGCCAGACCGTCGTGTAGTCGTAATAATATTCTCGTGTAACTGTGCCACCCCCGTTGAACACGCGGCCGTTCTTGATTTTTCAAGCGACGTTCGCGTTTATTATTATTCCGAAACCGAGATAAAACGATCCGACAGTTGTCCCACGTGCGATGGGGACCGACGCCCCTTCAATCCAACGATCGAGATGGCCCGCGACATTGAGATTGAAGGCACGCTGGCGAGCATGCGCGCCGAACTTGCAAAGGTTTTGGCCCGGTGCGATCGACTCTTGCGTCGCCGAACGTTGGTGGGACAACCACATGTGGCAACCTAAATATAGGTCGACAAACGCAGGCCGTTCGAAATTGAACCGCGTGGGGAGCCCCCCATCTTGCCTACACAGAATGGGAATCTGCTCGACGACCGCCGCCCAAAAAAAGAGGGACGTGCCACCTCCTTCGCGCTCGATCGCATCCTGCGAATGCGAGAAGCCATGACAAAGTATCGAACGGCAAAAAACCAGTGCGTCGCGGGCATCTTTCCCACTCGATCCCCTCGCGGGATCTCTGGTTGTTGAAACGCTTCGCCGAACAGCGAGTTTTTTCTGCCACGTGTCCATGGACCACACAACTGCAATGTGCCTATGCATGTGCACTTTGCCGTACCAATGTGTGTTCCTTCGCCAACGAAACAATCGATGGAACGTTTGCCGGGGAGGTGGAGCGTCCCCAGCACCAAACGGTGACCATTCCATGGGCACCAGGTTGGCTCGCCATATCGTTGGTGTCGCGATAAACGCATGTCGACACCAGCGGCCTCCGCGCCAGACGAAGCGTTGCTCGACGTCCTCTACAGAGGCCAACACACTGTCGCCACACCCGCCGTCACGTGGATATCGCAAGTTGGTCGTTGAGACCCTCGATCCTATTTTTGCCCGACCGTGATCACGTTGTCGAATATCGAATATCACACGGCGGTGTACCCACCGTCCACTTCTCACTGAAACACTCGAGACCGGTTCGACAAAGTGCACCCAAGAGCCGCCGCCGCCCCAGGCGAGACGAAAGGAGGCCGGAGGTTGAAGTAGCCGATGTCACCGACAGATCCAAGGACTCCGCGAACTGAGATGAAGTAGCTGTCCCGTTCCTGCGCTATGCGGCATGTCCACCGCATCCAGCCCGATGGTGGGACGAAATATATGGGACACTGCGTCTTTGGCTGTTGGCAGTGGAAGCTCGGGGGAGAGCGACCATGCGTAAAGCATGGGTGTCGCTGTAAGTTTGCCCCGCGCCTGCACACGCCCAGAGGGGGTGGTTCGATTGTCGGTCATCGCCGCCTCTTTTCTCGTTGCCGGTAGGCATTCTTCTTCCAGAGATATGAAGCGCATCCATGCGTGTTCTGGGCGGACGAGTGACGGGGCGGCCCATGAGATAAGGTGCGAATCCAACCAGATGACGCGGTCGAAGCAACTCGAAAAGTTCGTCCCAAGTGGCGACGTTTCGAATTCCAACGGTTCTTCGACGAAAGATGGAGAATACGGACCAGATCGCTTCAACCGCTTGTTGCCTTGTTCGGGGGGTTTGTCGGCCTTGCCGTCGTGGGACGCATTCGACATTTTCACCCGACCATGAACCAAGTGACAATCCTGCCTCCACCCGACGTCACGTTCTCGGTCACGTCCAACGACGGCAAGCGCATGCTCATTGATATCGCCCCGTGCACCACGGACGTAGGCGCCGACCAACTCCCGGCCAAGAAACACAAAGCCCTGGAAACGCCCGTCGAACCGGAATTGGAGGAATGGGATAGTCCGCGAGATGTGACCGAGATTGACTTCTATTGCCCGCTACCTCATGGAGAAGGCGACGTGTCCGCTGTGACCTTTGACGACGACGCTTGGCTCCTTGAGTATTTCCTCTCGTAGACCTCTCTTGCTTTTGTCGACCTCGCTCGCATCCTTGTACTACTAGTAGAGAAAATAGCCTATTTATCGAATACGTTTGCATTTCACGTCGACCGCAGCAATCGCCATGGGGTCATGCTGCACGGCCAAGACGGCGCCAGTACCACGTAGATGGTGAAACGAACGATGGCAATATTCGACCTCCACTTGGCATGGCTATCGCATTCTTGACCATGCGACCTAGTGAATGTCGGAATTGAGGTTTAATTGGTAGAGCTTAAAAAGGGTGGGTGGTTCGCGTCGCTGGCTCATCTCTCAACAAGCACACGGTCATCTACAATTGAATAGCTCTCGGAAGTGCTGCTCTGAGCAACGAAGCACAAGCTGTGGCGCAAATCGCTGCACCATGCCGTCGAGCGCCATCATGTCACGATGGACCAAAAACCCGACACTTGGGCAGACGAATCCGGATATGAATCAAGTCATCCGGATACGGTCCGAAGGACCGCACTGCAAACGATGGCGACAACTGCGGTCAAGTTTGCTGTCGCCGCGATCTGCGTGACTGGATTGGTGTTCCTGCGGAAGCGGAAGCTCCAGCGTCTGCATGCTCGTATCATATACCACCGGGACAAGGACCTTGGCTCACGATTTGGCATGGATGTCGGTGGAACGTTGGGAAAATTGGTGTACTTTGAACGCGAAGGCGACGCGGATGCAACGAATCCCGACGCCCCAGACTTGGGTGACGTGCATTCGTACTTGGTGGACACGGAGTATTACGGCAAGAGCGTTGAGCGTGACAGTCGAATGATGTTGAATGTACCGGGGGGTGGCCGCATTCATTTTCTGCGGTTCGAGACGAACAAGGTCGAGTACGTCGTGGAGTTTGTCTTGCACCGGTGTTTCCACAGGGACATTCGAACGATGGCGTGCACTGGAGGCGGTGCGTTCAAGTTCAGCAAGCTCTTCGAGGACCACCTGGGCATTTCGCTGCAAAAGTGCGACGAACTGGACTGCCTCATCCGAGGCATGGTGTTCGTCATGCGCCACGTCGCTGACGAGTGCTACACGTTCAAGGTTTGATCTCACGCGATGGTTATGGTGGTAACTACGTGTTGTTGCAGAATGTGTCGTTGCATAGTCAAGGGATTGGGGAGGCCACGAAGCAAATCATGTCGACACCACAAAGCGTACGAGCGCGCCGACTATTGTCCCTCAAGCTCATGGTGGATGTTGCAGGAACTGTACCCATTCTTACTCGTCAATATTGGCTCTGGCGTGAGCATTCTCAAGGTCACCAGTGAGACGGAATACCATCGCGTGTCCGGCACGAGTTTGGGGGGTGGCACCTTCCTTGGGTTGTGCAAGCTCTTATCCAAGTACAAGAGCTTCGACGAGGCGCTCGAAGGCAGCATGCAGGGCAACTCCCAGAGCGTTGATATGACCGTATGTCGTGTTGGTTGGTCGAGCATATTCTTTCACAAAAAGTGTATGGCAGGTCGGAGATATCTACGGCGGCAACTACACTCAATTCAATCTACCCGCAACCACCCTCGCCAGTAGTTTCGGCAAAATGGTATGTGGACGACTCTGCTGTGGTTTCATAAAGTCCAAAATGCTGCAATAAGGGAACCAAACATGAACCCAAGAGCGGCCTGCGAGACGAAGACGTGGCTCGGTCACTGCTTATCATGATCACGACTAACATTGGCCAGGTATGCCTGGAAATAACATGAAAGTAGACGTCACGCATGCCTAGGTAGCGTACTTGAGCGCATTGCGGTCGCAAACCCAGCGTATCTACTTTTGCGGGAACTTCCTCCGTCAAAACGAGGTCGATCGGCTCCAAGTCAGGTCGTTTTGAACCGTGACAACGTTTTTATAGATTGCTTCCCGGCAACTCGCGTACGCAATCGACTACTGGTCCAAGTCCAAGATGCAAGCGCAATTCTTCCATCACGAAGGATTCTTTGGTGCCCTTGGCGCGCTGTTGACTCACCACAAGGAGCTGCACATCCAGCTTTAACGACCGATCGTCATTTGCGTCTCGAGCATGTCGACAGCATCCTGCAATAGATATAGTAGGTGCAGGAAAAAACGATTTCCTGCGATAAGCAGAAATAGCAAATAGTGTGACAACGATTTTTCACGAAATCTTAAGATTTGTAGGATACAAAACTAAGCGAGATATAAATTGGGCTATATTTAGATGGAGCTGTACCCTGGGCGAGGAAAACGAAGTTCGAAGGAATCCAGGGAACCAATCAATTCGAGGCATCCAATCATGAGCATTCCCCAAAACTGGACATGGCGCAAGGCTCCACAACGCTCAAGAAGAAGAACGTGAAGAACGCGGCGGCAAAGCCGAACAAGGCCAAGGTCGAGTACCGACACAAGCTCAACTCGGCCAAGAAGTTCACTAAGGTGGGCAATGCCACCACGGAAGTGCGTCGTGGATGCAACGGGTTCAAGCGACGTGGTGATGCCTCAGTGACTGGATTCATCAACCGCAACATTGAAGAGCTCATGGCGGCGCGAGTCCTACAAACTGGGTCGTCGCTTGCGCTAAAGGACATCCGCAGTGTCGCAAAGGAACGCCTCAAGGAAGTCAACAAGAATGCACGAACCAAGAAGCGCAGCCGCGTTGAGGAGAAGTTGGCCGAGGTCGAAAAGGCCATCAAGGAAGCAGAAATGGGGCCCAATTAGATCGTCTACCTTTTCCAAGTGCGACGTCTTATAATTTAGTCCAAAAGCTATCGATTATCGTCCATGCGTTGCACTGGCGCACATTCCGGACCCCACGACCAACGCATCAATCCTCAAGGTTCTACCTGCCCTCGACGTGTAGTGTTCCCGGACATGGTGCTTCCCGCCATCCTTTGCTCAGTGTTAAATAGTGCAAGAGGTTGTATCGACTGGAATGGTTTAGGAACCAAGAGGTATGCCCCCTACTACGAGGTTGCGGGGTTTTCTGCCTCGCATTACCTGTTTATCCAGACCACGGTGCAAGACCAGTCGATACCGAACGATTTTGCAACACAAAATCTCTCCATCGCTCCTGTAATGACCTCGCTGTCGCAGGTCTTGGGTTTACTTGGCGTCGTGTATGGCCATCACTATTCTTCATTCTTACATGTGTTTCCAATAAACGACACGGCGGCGACGTTTGCTGCGGCCAAGTACGAAGTTCATCGTGGTCCCTTGCAACCTTAACACGGTCGGGGTTTTGGAGTTTGTCGACGACATCCGGACAACCGGTGGCGTTGGATGGGGTCATCCGGATATCACCATCCTGTTTGCTTTGAAGAAAAACGAGAAGATCGAAAGAGTTCTCCGATCGAACAGCATCATGGGAGAAGCGCGCATTGAGCTCGTGAACATCGCGGACGGTCATGTAGTCCAGCACCCCTTGCTTCTTCTGGAAGGGAAGTTCATCTGCGATTGGGATCTTCCGGACAATGTACTCGCAGAAGTACACGTCAACGATACGGCAACTTCGTGGCCGGTGAGTCATTCGGGTGCGTTCAAGGTCTTGGTTCCCCTTCCCACGTATGGCCGCCATGAGATTTGCTTGAACATTGCTGAGACATACGAGATCGTGTCCGTGGAATACGCACCATCGACCCGACAAAATCGCGTTCATGTGTACTACCAGAAAGGCCAAGGATCCACTGGTTCGTTTCACGCCCCTCCTGGAGTCGACAACAGCGAAGCGGTGGCAGTCAAAAAGATCAAATTCAACGCAGCGCTGCTTCAAACTGCGATGGCCGCGCTACTCGGTGCACCATATACGGAAACGTTTTCCCTCGAAGTTGACGACGATGGTCAACCCATTGTCCACGTGCTCGAATCATCATTCACAGACGACGTGGCGAAGTCGATATCTGAGCATGAACTCATCGGTCGCGTCGAAGAAGACTTGCGTGCGCAAGGATTCATGGACGACGATCTTGGCAAGCACGTGGTGTTGTTGGGATCATCCACTTTCGACACGGCAACCAAGACGCCAAGGGGGCATACAGCGTTGGGCAATAGCGCTGTGGGTGTATTTGGCTCATGCGGATTGCACACGTGGGCTTCCCATGTGGGAAACGTCATGCAGAGTTTCTTGGACACAACTCGCATCGACCCAGCGAGTCTGTGGGACGACAGTGCCGGCCGAGGAACGTACGCGGCGAATTACTCGACTGGTCTCGGCGCCGTCTTACACGAGCTTGGCCATGCCTTTGGTCTGAGCCACACGACACATGGAATCATGGCCCGCGGGTTCGATGACCTGAATCGTCTCTTTTGCGTTGTCCAGCCTCGACCTGATCCGACATCGTCAGTGCCAGCGTTTTCGAATGCCTTTCCAGACGGCAAGTTGTTTTTGAACTACGCTCGGGTGGAGGATGTTGTGACGGCCGAAGGTGCACACTGGCACCGTGCCAGTGCGTTGAAGCTGCGCTTGTCGCCGTGGTTGTCAAGCCAAACAACCAGCGGTCTTTGTGGTACACAAACAGTTCCCGCTGTTGCCTGGGGCAAGACTATCGTTGGGCCCGTGGGATGTGGCGCGGGGCCGCAAATCCCGTTTGGTACTGACTCGAAAGACGTCGCGGCGTTCTTAATCACGTCGGGAGCATCGACCGGTGTGACGGCAATTGAGATCCTGACGAATGCGTCGCTGAATGACTTGCTCTTTTGTGGCCTGGCCGCTAGCGGAAGCCAAGACCTGTTCATTCTCATGGATGGCGAATACATTGTCCAAGTCGACGTGCGGGCCAAGGCTTGGGTCGACGCCATTCGGTTTCACACGAATTTTCGTGTGTCGCGGTTCTTTGGTGGCAAGGGAGGCAACCTGCATGTCCTCAAAGCGCCGCCGAATCACATTCTGTATTCGTTTTTCGGTACAACTGGACAGAACGTCGTTGGAGCCTTGGGAGCGTATGCTACCCTCGCGCCACGCGGATTGCTCATGAATCAGAACCATCTTACCCCTCCGGCAGCCCCAGTCACGACAACCCCACTTCCTTCGCCACCTTTGACGTCCATTTTCGACCAAATCGGAAGCTTCTTCGGAGCTTCCGAGTCGACGCCGCCACGACCTACCTCTGCTACGTCTGGAGCCTACGCGACCATTGGCACTGGCGCCGAAGGCGAACAAGATGCGTTCACGACCAAGAACATCACATCAATTGGAGCGATCTTGCTCGTGTGCGCCGACGAAGCCATCATCAGCTTCCGCGTCTTGTCGAGAAAAGAGTACAGCGAAGTGTTTGGTGAGGGGTACTATGCGGCCCCGAATGAGCTCGCGTTCGTCCTGGCCGCGCACGAAGTTATCATTCAAGTGGATGTTCGGTCGAGCGGATGGATCCATGGTCTCCGCTTTCACACAAACGTGCGGATGAGTCCCTGGTACGGCGGCACCGACGGCGAAGAGCATTCGTTTGTGTGCGCGCCCGAGTCCCACATTACAGCGTTTTACGGTTCCCACGGGCCGCAGTATCTTGGGACGCTTGGGACGTATTTCGGACCGTTGCCACACCACCTGCCTCGTCCTCAACCGCTGCCGAACTTGGCGCCGCTTCCTTGTTTACATGGTGGTGCTGGGGTCGACATTGTTCGAATTCGTGCGTCGGCGTCGGGGTTGGAGTTCACCTCGTCCGCCTTGGCTGTCGACGAACCGTGCACTCACGTGTTTCCGCTGCAAAAGGGAGAAGTCCTCGTCCAAGTGGAGGTCGTTCGCGCCAACGGCCAAATCATCGGAGCGGCTTTTCACACTCAAACTCGATCGAGCAAGTGGTATGGCCAAGTCGATGGGTTGTACGAAATCGTGGTGGCGCCCCCCTCTCTCGCCTTCGCCAGTATTTGTACATCACGCGGGGAAGTTCAGCACACATTTGAGTCTGAGGATGTCTGCCGCGTTGAAGACGTCTCCGACGACGACGGTACGTCGGAAGCCGACTTGGGTCAAGAGAAGGCGTTGCATGCAGTGTCCGACGTCGGTATCGCTTATGTCGTGTTGCATCAATTCAATAACGGCGATCCGTTGGCTGACCACGTCGTGGAGTTTGCGGAACCTTCAGCGCTTCCCCAGTCGTGGCGCATCTCAGCCACGTATTTGAAAGCCAAGGTGCATCCTCGTCCATTGACCGACTATGCCGTCGAAGTAGTCGACGCCACGGGAACGTCGACTCTATCGCCTGTGCTGGCGCCTTGTTTGCCGTGATATCTTGCATGCCTAGCCAGGCTCATGTGCATGTTGAACAAACGCTTTCAATATAGTAGATAATTTCCGTCACTGCGTGCATTTTGTGCGTCGTCGAAGCGCCGTTTCCTTACCCGAATGGCGCCACTCCCTGGACCTCAGATGCAGCAAGTCGTTGCGCAGTGGATCCTTTTGAGATGAGCGTGAATTCATTGGAGCATTTTTCGATGGATAGCAGCTCTATTAGAACGCAAACGACTCCATGTGGACGCTCGGGGCCCCAGCTTCATTCAGCCACTTTGCCGTCGCGTGCATGAAGTCGTTCGGGCCACAGATGTACGCATGGCGCTCGTGGACATCGGGCAAGTTCCCAAAGTCCTCCGGTCGAAGTCTTCGCGTGACGACAGGAGATGCTGGATCGGTCGATGGTTTGGCTTTCGAGTCGAACAACGTTATTTTGGAAATGCCCGCACGTTTGAGTGCTTGTACGAGCCCCACTCCCTCCTCGCCACGCGCCGCAAGAAGCACCTCCAAGTCCACGGACGCGTGCGTTGCTGCTATCGCCTCGGCAAACGCCAAAAATGGCGTAATGCCCACACCAGCCGCTACCCACAGCATTTTGGACGGCAAGGTCGAGGGGGGATGCGTAAAGGGAGAAAACTCGCCGCCAGTCCCCAACAACGGCACTTTCAGTCCACGTGACACCATTGTATGGAGGAACGAGCTGATGGTACCGCCGGGGACGTGCTTGATGGTGCAAGTGATCCGGTTGGAAGGGATGAACTCGTTTATGTCGGCGGAATACGGAGGCGACGACGAGATGGTCCATGTCCGAATGAAGTCATCGTTGACGAGCTGCGGGTGCGCATTGTGCATGTGCATGTACGGCTTGTCAAAGTACTGGGAAAAGTCAAAGACAGCAAATCCGCCCGGGATGAACTTGACTGGCGTCTTTAGATCAAACGCGAAGGCCGAAATGTTGTCCGTGACACGCGTCACTTGCGCAAGCGTTGCAACATTTTGCCCATGGACATCCAAGCTCTTGCCATGTGCAGCCAGCTCGGACGTGAGGTACCGGATCGGTGGGTTGTACGGCGACATGGTTTCGGCACCCACTAGCTCGAATGGCAGCGCTGCCTTGATGTAGACCTTTCCCGTCAACACGATGCGAGTCAGAAGCGTCACCCGGGGCATGATGCGGGTGGCATCCTCGTCAAACAAGTTCTCGGCGTGTCCGGTCAAGTACAAAAGGTCACCCGTCTCAAAACATGGCACGACCAAACCTGCGACTTTGTCCGTTTGAATGTTCCCCAGCGACTGGTAGAATCGATTCCCGGAAAAGTCGGGGACGTTGATGGTCGTACCGGCTTCACCCACACGTGCAAATCCACGGGATCCGCCGCGGTGGTTGAGCCCCATGTCCGTCGATCTTGGGTCTTTTGCATCGATGTGGCGCGACGCGAGGAAGAGGGTACTGGCACGGTGCACGTGATCGATTTCTTCCTCCGTGAGGGATACTGGCGCGTTGGGCGACACAGAGTCGTGAAACGTGTTGGAGATCGTGGACGGCGCTCGTCGCTCCGGCGCGTACACGAGGTCGCGCACCGTGATGTACTTGGGGCAATTGCCCATGTTGTCGTTCGTGGTCAAATCCATTCGCAAGTATCCTTGATCAAACGAGCTTGAAACGACATACCCAGCGACTTTGTTTCGTCGTCGATTGGAAAAATCGACCCCGAGTCCAGCCCAGAGTGCCGAACCGTTAGACGCTTGCTGGTGCGACGCCACACACGCGCCAAAGGGGTCGTCCGCGGGGAGCTCAGTGTCGATGCGCAACTTGTCAGACGACATGGCCGTGACTGGTCTTGCGGTTCTAGGCCCTGTCACGAGGGTGGCCCATGGCCGGCCATGCGAGTCCATCGTGGCGATGGCAAAGTAAGGGAGGTCGCTAAAAAAGGTCGAGTGCTGGCGAGGCATGTCGTCCGATATAATCTGCGGCGGGTATTGCGACACCTCTCTGGGGACATGACGGCGCTCTTGAACATACAGCTCTCCGCTGTGCTGGTTGTGGTTGTGGGGCGCCGTCGACGCGGAAAAAATCGTTGCGAACATGACGAGGCGCTTTGAACAATGGCTCGTTGTGTTCGTACACCACATGAACTAGTACTACTAGTATATTTTTTGAACACCTAGGGAAGTCTGTGACAAGGGAGTACTATTACTAATAGTAAACGTTAGTAGTTGACACTCGGTCGAATTCGTGTTTGGTTGTAGTCATCAAATTCCATGGCGTGATGCACAAACGGCCGTGGCTATGCGCCATGCCGCTGTATCGTTGCGCCGACAACTCGTTGAGGTAAAGAGTTCGCACTAACGACAACGTCGTACAATCGCTGTCCATCGACCTCCCTGCAACTCTTCTAGAGAAGGTGCATGGGTAGACAACGTTCACATGAACATGCGATCGCATTCGATACGTAGGGGCGCGATGGGAGGACATGATTGATATTCTCACACAACGAAGCATGTGTGCGAGCAGCGGGCTCGACTAGCAGACCCCATCATTGCGTTGGCAACACGTTACGGCATTGTTTTGTAACGGCTTGGGCATCTCTCGAGCGTATATGCTGCCGACGCCTGTGCACAGCATCCTTGCGCGTAGCAGAATCGAGACGTCGGCAATTGTCGACGCTTACCTCGAGGTACTCGTGTTCGACCATTCAAAGCTCCTTACACGTAGCGCAGAGGATAAAAATCGGACGAGATCTTGACCTGTTTTGGACAAGGCTCACAACGACCAAGTTTTTGCTTCCGAATCCGTATCCGCAACTCTTGCGCCACTTGCGTGAAATCGAGTCGCAGACAAACGCATGGGAAGTTCCCCTCGCCACCGTTAGCGTCGTCAACATACCACCAAGCATTGGCGAGTTCGGGGTTGTCGAGGGTGGCGTGTTTGGTCGATCTCGCTTGGTTGCGGTACAGTCGTGACTCAACGCAATAGTAAACTAACTCCATCGCAGCGCGTGGATGGCTGTAGACTCGCTCACCTTTCCAAGCATTTGGGATGTCCTTGGTACAAGCAGCAAAGTGCCGATGGGATCGCGTCCACGACCATGACGTGTCTCGTCGGTCCTGCCGTCTTCCACGGAAAAGGATATCTACCAACGATCCATTTCCTTCAGCTAGAGCAGGTTGAACACATTTCGCCTTGTCTGGAGTTCGTCATGCCTTCCCGTAGCATGTGGTGATCGAAGGGGACAACCTGGAACGGGCGATCACTCTGTTCGCCCACATGATCGCCAAGGATGCGTTCGATACCCAAACGTCTGCGTCGGTCGGGCTTGATGTGTGCAGCGATGCCGTTCCTGACATCACGCTTCTAGTCCATCAACCAAGGGGTATGGGTGACAATCCCTTCCTTCAAGAAGAGCGACAAACACACCGAGAAATTGTGGACCCTCGATGCGATTCAGACGTCTCGAGTCGCGTTTATTAGTGCTGTCAAGACTGCTGTGGCGGCTCGCGTGCCTTGCTACGTTACCGAATTTCGCCACGCTCCACCGTTCAATCTGGTTTGTGCACTGGTTAACTTGGCCGTTCCCAATTCTGCGCCATAAGGACGTAACGCAGGGCCATGGGAATGGAAGCCAAATCAAATGCGCAATATCGTATGTGCGGGTGCATCGAGAGCTTGTGATGCACTTCAAGCCACCCAACGAAGGTACGAAGCGTGCCGACGGGACTGGACGGTCGTGTCTGGGCTGATGAAATGGATAACTCTTTTGCAGTGCTGACATCATTCACTCGCAACCCCCACCGACCGCTGATTGAAGGAGTCTTTTTCAGCGAAGACGCTCTCAAGGCGTACGTAACCAAGGTGGCACCGCCAGCCACAACGGCAGTCATGGAACCGTATGTGGCACCCATTCTTTCAAACTATTCGGTGGGCAACTACTTGGCCATGGCGTATGCCTTGGTTCACCACATCTGCGTGAACGAAGACTCTTTCCAACCGATCGCCCAGCTCGGCAAAGTCACGTTGGGGTTTCCAGGACAACTTGTTGTTTTGGCACAGACCAGCGCGCTGATTCAAGAGGTGGTTCCTCGACAACGCCTTCGTTTCACACTCGTGACGCGATCATTGTGTTCGTAGATGCTGACATTGCAAATCTTGACCCCCACCACGACCCAACTCCATTTGAAACAATTGTGGAATATGGTGGCCCAACATGCGCACAATGTTCGCACGTTTCTGTGTCAGAACTCGCACTCGAGTCTGCTTGGAATCCGCCACACACTTGAACAGCTCGCCACTGCCCTGGAAATTCCAAGCGCTTCAACGTCGGAGGCTGTCGTGGTGCAGTCGGCGGTGGACGCTTGCCGCCGCATCGAGTTGCTCTTGGAGCACGCGGCACAGTGCGTGACTCGGTGTGTATCGATACCAACGTTGTGCAACAACTTGTTTTATAACGACGTACAGAGACGTCATTGAGACCATGCGTGGCGATGGCGGCGTCGTGCATCCAATCCAGTTGGTCAACCGGCTCGCTCAAACGGCCGCGGAAGAAGAACGGACGGCCCTCGCCGCGCTGACCAAGACCAAACTGAAGCGGGTGGCGCCAAAGACCGACAACTCCCCGATTGCGATGTCACAGCTGGTCGAGCCAGATCAGCCCACATTGCCTTTGCACGGCATTGACGTGGACCAGGAAGTGCAAAGCGCAGTTGCATCCCTCACGTACCCCCCTCTGATTGCTCGCGAAGCAGTGTACATGCAGTACATCGTCGATACGAGGCTGGACGAAGCTCTTCAGTCTGCGCTCTCTGCCATTATTTTGGAAGGGATGCCGCCAAACCACTTTCCTCCATTTATTCAGCGCCTCCGTGCGTACGCCATCCGCCACAGCATGTCCCTTGCACAGGCGGTAAGGTCATGGCGCTGTCGATTACGAATTTGGGTATTCCCTCAAAGATCATAGGCCCCACCACCACTGCCGCTGCACGCCCATCCTCAGCCACCACCAAACCAAATTCGCAATGATTTTGCCGACACGGACGGCACCATTGTGGAAGTGCGTGGGCTGTTTGGAACCGCAAGGTGCACGTCGTTTTTTCCCGACAGCGTCGTCTCGATGGCCGCAAAGGTGCAATCGTGGCCGACATGCCCGGTGCAATACACTTCTCCCTCGGCTCTCTTCACCATCCAGGTGTCGCATCCCTTCCTCACCTCCATGGGCACCGTCAAAGCTTGGTGCGTAGACGTGGACATCGTTGTACCTCCGACGGTTTTACATGGTCTGGTCAAATTGCTGAAGTCGATCAAGCTCATATTCCTATGAATGCAGTGGCTGGAGGATGCGCCGAGCCAAGTGGATGTTGTCGAGCATATCCAAGTGACGACCGTTCAACCGACACTACAGTTGACGCAGAAAGCAGCCGAGCTCTTCAGCGACGCTGTATTGCAGGACGTTCTGACCATTTCGGACCATCCCCGTAAATGCCATTTCGGATGTGTTTACAACTGACCAGGCACATGGTAGAGATGGCGGTCGTGTGGTTCCAGACGTCCCACGACCATGCGTTCGACTCGTTTTCATCGCGTCCGACGTTCAAAGTCGACGCGGGTGGAATCAAATTACAGCGAGATTTGCTTCGAAGTCGCGTCGAAAATGCCGCTCTGTCCAAACAATGGGTGCAAATCTGCGTGTTTCACGACTGCACCCTCGTCGTCAAGACGTATGTGCTGCACCTTGTCGACCACAGCCGTCGGCGGTGCTTTGCCCCGCCGCGACTTCGTTCGCCGAATGCGTCGCATCTGTGCTTTAGTCGAGTACGGTCTCGTTCGTTGTCGCCGTCGCGTTGGCCATGAATTGCCACAACGATGGTTAGGCAAGTGCAGAATGGACGACGAGCTTGATCGACACCTCACCTGAGTGCGACGTGGTGGACGACGCGGATCTCTTGGACATGTACGATCGAGTGTTTCAGCGTGCAGTTCGCCATCCTGACGAGTTTGCCACATGCGAAGCTGCGCTGTGCGTCATGTTGGCTTCGCCTGTCGTGGCGCTGAACGCACTGGTAGCGCTCTCTCATTCCACCAAACGCTTTGACGTTTTTGTCAGGAAACCCAAGGACACGCATTTGCCATGGCGTGCACGACAAAGTGTCGTTTGCATGAGTTGAAAGGGTGCATTGAAGCGTGGGTAGCGCGCATACGCGCCGTTGTCGACACCCCTGCCACGCAAGACATGCTGTGGCTTTTTTCGAGGTGGAAACGGCCGCTTGCAAGTGCACTGGCTGCTAAAGACTCCATGCAGACTCGTGCGTTCGTCGAGGGGCTGACAACCTTTGTACTTGCACTTCGGCTCAGCTGCCAGATCGATGTCCACTTCAGTTCCAAATTGCCCACAATGCAATCGGTTCGTTACTAGCTGATCTAAGGCAACTCGTGGTATATCCGATATGTAGCTGAGGTGCAGAAGCGGCGTCGCGTCCGAGGGGGTCGAAGGCTATCCAAAATGAGCTCTACATCCACAAACAATTACAGCGAATCTGGACGCCAAGAGGGAATAGCTTGCCCCACACGTAGCCCATGATCCTGGTCGCCGATCATGAAATCGAGTGTCGGCGAACACGCCAGGGAGCCACAGTGGCGATGCCACGACCACAGTAGACCTGCACGGTTGTGTAGAGCACTGGTCGGCAATGAGCATACGCCCTTCATGGAGAAAGTGCTTCCAGAGCTGACTCAACCTCGACGACCTCTGTACTCGACATTGCGCTCGCCATGCACAGTGTCAATGGTGTCGATAACTGTGTCAAAACGTGGCAATTTTTCAAAACTGACAAAATTTTCGTCAATTCGAAGAAGGCGATATCCGGATAACTGTATTCGGATGACGACAAAGGCTGCATGTTGATTTCCAGGATATGGCCGAGTACAATCAACCTGTGGTCGTCGACAACGGCAGCGGCGTGCTGAAGGCCGGCTTTGCGGGTGGCGAACTGCCTCAAGTGGTGTTCCCTTCTTATGTGGGGACCACGAAGCATCTGCGAATGATGGCTGGTGGGGCGTACGAAAGCGGGGACACGTTTGTCGGGAGTCGAGTGCAGCAGCACCGTGGATTGTTTTCCATCAAGTATGCGATGGAACACGGTATTGTCACAGATTGGGAACGAATGCAGCGGATATGGGAACACATGTACTCGAAGGACATGCTCAACATCGCGAGCGACGAGCACCCTGTGCTTCTCACCGAGGCGCCGCTCAACCCAGCTGCGAACCGTATCAAGGCGGCCGAGGTTTTCTTCGAGAGCTTCAACGCCCCGGCATTCTTTGTGTCACCCCAAGCAGTTCTGTCCCTGTACGCTTCTGGACGAACTACGGGTGTCGTCTTGGACGTCGGAGATGGCGTTTCCCATGTCGTGCCTGTGTACGAGAGCTTTACATTGCCGCATGCGATCACGCGCATGGACGTGGCCGGGCGCGACGTAACCAACTATTTGCAGCTGCTGTGTCGCCGCGCAGGGTATAACTTTCAGACATCGGCCGAGCTCGAAGTCGTCAAGGAGATCAAGGAAAAGCTGTGCTACGTCGCGTTCAACCCGACCAAGGAGGAGCAGCTGGCTTCCCATCATGCGATCAACGACCCGACCAACCCTGTCGGCAGCTCTTCAAGCGCCCACGCGAGCTCCGAATACCGCCTTCCCGACGGCAACATCCTTCAAGTACGATACGTTCCCTCGGTCATGCTGCTCTCTTTTGAACGAGTGACGTTTGCATTGTCAAATGCATTGATGATGCCAGACGCTTTCTTCTCACCCACATATACCCGCGTGTAGCTCGGTCCGGAGAAGTTCCGAGCTCCAGAAATCTTGTTCCGCCCAGACCTCATCGGCTCGGAACACACTGGTACGTCTGCGCTCATCAAGTCGTGGCACAACTCGGCTTTTCACGAGGGGTTGCTTGGCTAGGCGTTCATGATTGTTTGGTGCAAGCAATTCTGCGCGCCGACCTGGATCTGCGCAAGACGCTGTTCTCGCAAATAATCCTGAGCGGTGGGTCGACGCTGTTTCCAGGATTTGGCGACCGCCTCCTCAGCGAAGTGCGCAAGAAGGCGCCCAAGGATATCAAGATTCGCATTTCCGCACCGCCAGCGCGCCAATACTCGACGTGGATCGGAGGTTCTATCCTGGCGTCGTTGGCTACGTTCAAGACGATGTGGATCACCAAGGCCGAATACGAAGAGCATGGTGCATCCATCGTCCATCGCAAAACCATCTAATCTGTCGCAGATCTTCTTGGACACCCCTTAACAATACACCCTCGTCTTGCGTGCAAATGAATTGGCGGTGGCGCTCATTACGTCATTCACTCGCTCTAGTACTCTACAATCGCTACTTTGCCTTGGAACCGCCCAACGTTTGTTTGAGGGATTCCTGCATGCGCTGCCAGAACGACGGACGCCGACGCTTCGTTTCGTGTTTGGCTGGTACATGGACACTTGATGCTTCGAATGTGCCCATCATGCTTGCTCGCCGCAATTCGCCGGGGGAATTGGACCAGCTGCGCGGCGTAAAGCACGTCGCGTCGTCCCATAGTTTTTCCTTGAACAGTTGTCGTTTCTATAAATCCACAATGCTGTTCAAACTCTCAACCAAAATGGCGGCACACCACCTCTTCAAACTTGTCATACACCACCGACGCTGGCAAGTCGAGGTACTTGGACAGTCCCAGCTGCAAACTACCCGATTGATCGCGTCAGCGAACGACGGCACTTGGTGACGGAACAGTACCTGCGTTCGACTGGAGGCAGCGACAAGATGTGCCGCGGTGTGTCACTGAGCATGGACATCCCGTAGTCGGACTGCAGTAATCCATGGTGTTCAACGTCGAGGCAGGCATTCAAGATAACGGAGTACCTGTGGTGTCGTCGTCGTGCAGTTGTGGATGTTTTCATAAATATGCCCGTACACGGCTTCGGCGATGTCGTCAAGTTCTTGCAAACGGGGCTCGCAAATCGTGTCGATAAACTTTTTCCACTACATCGCACCGCCTTCGTCATATCCTGTTCCGTCGAATCCACGCACGTACAGGCGCGAGGGTCGTCGCGGGGGGATTTTGCACCAAGAAAGGATGTCGAAGGAGCTGCTCCGCTGTCCATCGGTCTTCCGGGTCAATAGCCAAGCACTACAGCGCACCACCGATGAACCGAGGACTGAAACACAAACCGTCAGAACACACCTTGTCCATAAAATCTCGACACACATCGGAAAACTCGTCCGGCAACTTCAAATATCCTTCGTTCGCCACCTACTTGTTGGGTATGAATCGGGTCACGGTCCATCCATCGCTTCAGCTTTGTCTTACCGAGTCGACTAGACCGAAAAATCCGTCGTGGGTTGGCAGGGGGTACCGCCCCAGCGCCACCGACACAAGCACCAGTCCAAAAGACCAAATGTCAGCTGCACAGATGCCCCCACAGGTCAACCACGTGCATATTTCTTCCGCGAGGCAGCATACCTGGATATGCGTAGTCGCCACCGCCAATGCGCTCGGGTGCCATATACAAAAGGGTCCCGACAAATGTCTTTGTCTGTGTCGCATTGTCGTTCAGAGTCCGTGCGAGTCCAAAGTCCGAGATCTTGATTTGGCCTTGATGGTTCATCAACAGATTGTGCGGTTTGATGTCGCGATGAACCATGCGATTCCCATGAATGTGCTTGAGGCCTTCTAGGACACTCGTCGCAATCCGTGCGACGAGAATTTCGGGAATGCCTCGGCCTCCTGACTTGACCACGATATCCTGCAACGAACCGACGCCCATGTACTCCATCACGAGCGAGATGCAGTTCTTCTGCTTGTCGACGAAGGCGTCGTAAAAGCTCACGATGTATGGGCTTGGTCTAGAACCGTCAAAGCATCAGCCACGGATGGCGAACGCGACGGACTGTTCGTACAGGCGAATCGCTCCACGAGCCTTGGACTTGTTCTCGTCGAGCGGGACCAAGTTTGCGTACAGCGCGTGGAGTTCGCGCACCATTTGACGTCGCTGGTTTTTCCCGTACACTGGGATTTCCTGCAGAGCCTTGTGAGCAGTGACACGTGAGTGGAGATGGGGACTTGGGTCGCCAAAGACATCTCCAAAAAAAGAGAAATCGAATCACCTTAATCGCCACGACTTTTAACGTGGGCAAATGCACCGCTTTATACACGACTCCTGACGCGCCGCGGCCGACCTCCTTGACCCGCACGACGTTTTCTTGCAGGTGCAAACAGGACGAGTCGGGGGAAGCGATCCCAGCCTCCGACACCGATACATTCTGCGTCGTAAAGCGGCCGTGGTTGGGTGAATACGAGCTGCCGTGGCTGAAACGGCCGAGTTCGCCGCCGTCTAGTCCGTGCGCGCCCGGTGATGTTCCAGCTAAAATTGCGATCGTGTACCGTGAGGGGAGTTCAAGTCGTTGTCGGACAACTGGCCCGAGCTCGCACGGAATGCAATCATGGCTCTTTGCATGCCACTGACGGGACCCGTGTCGTTCGGGTCCATGGCCTCGCGATGGGCCAAGAGGCGATTGGCAGCTCGATTCGCTCGATTTTCAGCTTGCTGTGGCGTTGGCATGTCGTCGAGCTGTAGACGCAAGCTAAATCGTTTCTTCGGAGTCGACAATGCTGCGAGAGGAAGCGGAGATGGCGTGTGAGGACTGATGGTGGTCGCGACACTGCTGGACGTCGGGGTTGCAGTTGAGACGATGGTCAACCCAGTTCCTCCTTCCTTCCGCAAAGAAGCCGACGACAACTCGACGCAACTAGAGGGCAAGATAAAGGTGGACGGCGCGACTTTCGCAGCTCCTGTATCGCTGCGATCTGTAGCGGTAACACCGTCATCGTCCAAATTCAACTCAATCCGTATGGCTTCAATCGCATCGTCAAGACGCTTCTCGAGAATATGGGGAATCTTCGTAGGGGAGGCGGCAGACGGATTTGTAGCAGCATGAGGTTTGGGCGGCGAGGTGTCTGCTGTTTTGACCCACGGGCGCGCCCAACTGCGCACTTCAGCTAAACGAAGGGACCGGACGTCCACGTCGGGAAAGATGGACGGTGGCTCGGGCTTGCGCTCCATCTGCGATACTCTGCATGACGAACTACTTTCTTGGCCTTTTTTGCCTCGTTACCTGGAGTTGAATGTTTGGAAGCGACAGCGCCCGTTGCAAATGTCGTCGCTGCTGATGCTGCTTTCGTCGCGATGCCATCGGAAGTCCGCCTTCGGCCTTCTTCACATAGCTTTCATCGTTCATGCTCTCGAAACGATTGCGCTTGCGTTGGTCCATCCTGCTCACTGCCTTTGTAGTCGTCCGACGAGTCGACGTGCCCTCGCCGCGGCCGAAGTTGAACGGGAGTCGTTTTGGACTTGATCATGGCATCTCTGGCACCATTTTTATTCTTTTTCGGGAAGCCGTATACAAATACCAAGATCGGAATAAAATATTGGGAGTAGAAACCGCTCCCACGTGATTCGCAGAATCCACCGACTGCCTTTGATTGGATACATCCCCGCAGCGTTTCTGAGATTCCGAGTGCCGTGCATCGGCGGTCGACGGCGCGGCAGCCAGGAGAAGGAAAGGAAGGAATTTGCAACAGTGTGAGTCTGAACTCGTGCCTGTCGATCGCCGACACAAGGAGGTGGACACCATCCGTCTCTTTGACTGTGAAAGTGGACAGAGCCGCCATGACGGAACCGCCGCACGACGACAACGAAGCTGTAGACACTGATACTGCCTCTCTGTTGCTTGTTTGGTGATGGCAGGGCTCTTACTGCCAAAATACAAAAGCCACAATACGCAATGCAGCGACGTCCATCTTCTACCTGCAGGCAGAATCCCTTGCACCTTCGGCTTGCGCGATTTGCGCAGCGGATAGTGTACTGGTGTACACGTCCCAGATGTTGTTACGATAGTCACGAAGTTTTGGAAACTGAACACGCCGATCCGGGGTTCCTGCTTGGGGCACCAGGTTCAGCGGTCTCCATGATTCATATCAGACGTTTACTCTAGAGCAGGCAATCGCTCGCCTGCATTCGCGACGAGTCTGTTCACTTCCATTGTGCGTGTGATTGTGCGCGCCACACGCACGGCAAGTGCACAGTCCTTACTCGAAGAGGGATACACGGCTGCGCTTTACATGTTGTTCGGTTGGATGCGGCAGGCGGATGCCGCGTAGATGGCATTGTTCGTGTAAATAAATCAAGTATATAAGGTCGTTTCCTGCATGTCTAAATGAACAAAGACGGATACAGCACTCGCATCGTTCGCGTGATGAGGTACCGGCATTGATGGGCACTCACGGGCCGCTTCCTTGATCCTGCCGTTTCCCATGCGCGAGGCGAACGCTCGGACACGACCGTGGAATACGCTTCCACGGCTTGAAAGAGCAGGGACGTATTCTCACATTGCGGCTGTGCTTCAAACCCTGTGGATTCCACAGCAACATCAAGTACTTTGGCTTCGGAGAGTTCGTCGACCGCGCTTCGCGCCACGTCAGTTGCCTTGTCGAGGTGGGACTCGCCGTGTACGTTGTCCGAGACTTGGATGTCAACTGCCTCAGCAGCAGAGCTTCCTTCGTCGCCAGCGAAGGTTGGAGTGAGATCGACAGGTTTGGCTTTCGACGATGAATCATGGCGAGGGGACATCGACGATGAAGCTTGACGAGAGGAGGCAGATCGGGAAGATGCCACAGGAGAGAGCAGATCAGTGTGATGATGCTCAGAAGGGCTAGCGTCGGACAAAGTTTCGTGTTGGTTGTCATCATCGATTTCGGTGGTTGTGGTAGACGAAATGCTTTGTTTGGACACCCTTTTCTCAATTCCGTCGTCTTGTGCTGTGTCGTCCAGTTGGGTAGGTTCCGTGGGGTCGATCGAGTCGCGATGAAAGTCGTGCTGTGGAACTTCCAACAGCTCAAAGAACGCAACCTGCGCTACCATCGATAGGGACTGGAACACCTGTTGCAGCTGAGACACAAATTTGTCGAGCTGCTTTTGTCGGTACTGTGGCGACTGGTTGGAGAACAAGTCCTTGGTTGGGAAGGGGAGCTTGCCCATGACGTTGCGGTCAGACTTCAGCAACTACAGTGCATGCGCCTGGTCAAGTCTTCGTCTCAACTCATGATAAACCACGTACAGCTTGATGGAACTCGTAGAACCTGCTGTATCGAATATTTACTGTCCACGATATTTCTCCATTGCCGATTTCAGTGGTGTACAACGTCGCTTTCTTGCCCCTTTCGTCGACCGCATTCACAAACCGAATCACGTGGACGCTTTGTAACAGCATGCTGATGAGTAGACTGAAGCGCTTGGGATGGTGTATCTGAGCGAATGAGCCCTATTGAGGATGGCCCAACCTGAGCGATGGCGCGTCCACGGAACAAGAGGCCGCGCCGCACCCACCTGATGATGGAGTACCTGGCAACAATGCGAAATGGCGCCATCGGGCGATCGGTTTTCGAGTTTGGTTCGTTTTTATTTCACGTTGAACCCACTAAACTTCACGTTTGTATGCAGGGTCCGTCCGGTTATTTAAATACTCAACGCCATGGGCTCGTGGCGATCTTTTGTCGCAAATTCACGAGAGGAGGGTTGACATGAAAGTTTTAAATCGTATTGAACCTGGTTTCAGCAGCGGAGTAATTCACCGCACACTTTTGTTTGAACTGTCACATCTTCAGACAAACCGGTGTTTCGACGTTTCGCAGAGAGTTTGATCCCGCTCCCACATTCCCCAAGTCCACTTGCTCATATGGCTGAATATGTGGTCGTATTCTCGTCGCTCCTCCTGCTGTCCTCATCGAGTGCACAAAAGCACGTGCCACGGTCGATTGTACGAATTTTGTACATGCTGTAATGTGCTTACAGTATAAAGGTAAAATCATACATCGTACATTTTCCGTATGTACCGTCCGTGGATACAAGGGCCAACCGTGCATGGCTTTGTCGTGACGGCTCAGACGGGGTGAAGGGCGTACGCTTGGGATGTACATCTGAAATGGATGGTTGTCGCTGATACATACGTATTGCAATGGCCCGGCCTCCTCTGCATGTCGTTGCAGCAAAATTTCACTGGTGTCTCCGACCACGAAGGCAAACGTGGGAATTATCCACACCAATATTTGAAGGCGCTGGTTTGGATACTTCAACGTCACAAACAACAGAGAATTCAGCAGGAGAAAGTGTATATATTTGTACTAATTGCAGGAGAAGGGACTAAGGGCGACGCATTAGTACATCCTGCGGTGTCGCAGTTACGCCGGAACGGTTTCACTCACATCGACATGGAGACGAAGATGGAGCCACAACAAAGTGCCGAGAATCGCACGATTTTTCAAGAGGATGGCATTTGCAAGAAGGCGGAGGGGGACGCGTGGGCGAGGCAGGGCAACTACGACAAGGCGATCGTGTGCTACAACAAGGCGTGCTTTGTCAATCCGGACGACTATACGCTCTACTCTGCACGGGGCAACGCATACACGAAACTGTGTGACTTTAAGGTTCAAGTCGTTGAGTTGATCTTGATTGATTAACTCCATCGTTGCGTATTCCAGTCGGCCATCTCGAACTACAAGAAGCTCCTGTCGATGCAAAGCAACCCCCCGCAAGCTATCAAAGAAGAAATTGCCGAAGTCTTCAATGCACAGGTACTTTGGCTTTCTTGTGAGGTGTTTCGTTGCTTGCGTGTCAGTGATATCGATTCAGGGGTACACGTACTTGATGGAAAAGGAATACACTACCGCCATCGTGTACCTAACCGATGCGGTGGCACTGGACGCCCTGCAGGCCAACTACTGGTTGCACCGGTCGGGAAATGCACAACAGTATGACATCATGTAACATGGATCGAATGCAGATGCCTGGCATACATTGGTCTGGAAAACTGGACGAAAGCGCTCAAGGACATCGACCACGCCATCTGCATCGACGCCAACGACGCCGACATCCTCGTCCTCCGGGCCAAGTTGAATTGGAAGCTGAAACTCATTGATAAGGGTAACAGCGACATTGCACGCGCGTTCAAACTGAACCCGAACCACCGCGAGGTACGATACGAAGTCTCCAGCTTGCAGATAGACACACAAGTCTTATCGTTGGTGCTCGTAAGGTGCTCGATTTTGAAAAGAAAATGTGGCACCAGTCGCAACATCTGCACGATCTCGCGTGCCGCCACATCATGAATCGAGAGTTCTCCAAGAGTTTGGACTGCTTGAATTCGTGCATCGAATTCAACGCCGACGACGTCAAGGTGCTCATCTTACGTGCGTCCGTGCGTCGGGAATTGGTACCGTCCCAGAGTCCTGTCGCCGTCGTTTGCATGACAGACTTGTACAAAGGGAGATTACGACGCCGCGATGGCCGACGTCGAGCGCGCGTCACAAGCATTTTTCAAAAAGAAACGGCAGTCCGACCAGCCACACACGAATGACCCCGACGAACTCGATGAACATATTCAAGAACTCGACTCGCAGTCTTTGTTTGGATCACCTGTCGCACATATCGACGAGCATCCCGAAATTACTCGCCAGCGCAACTTGATTCTGAACGGTAGGTCGTTCAACATGCACATGGACGACGACACATCGACCCATGCATGTCCTGGTAGACGTCGCAGTGGCAGAAATCCAAAGTGGCCGCTACGACGCCGCCCTGAACGCGATGAACCTCGTACGAATACGCTCGACTTGTCCATCGATGAAACACCACGTGTCATGGAGCAGGCGATCGCGTCCGAAGTCGCGACGGCGTCTCGGTTTGATGGAAGTGTCATCGACTATCGATTTTACGTCAACCGCGGCGACTGCTACCGCGCGCAGTCCAAGAACCACGCGGTGAGTTTCCTTGGCTACGCGCGAGGTAACCATCCCCTCGCTGTTGTCGGGTGCAGGCGCTAGCAGATTACAACAGTGCGTTGGAGCTGCAGCCGATGGATGCCGACATCCACACACGGGTTGCCATCATCCGATACCAGTTTGGGTTGGAGCAATTCAACCGTGGCGCGTTCGACAAGGCCGAAGTCGAATTCACCCTCGCCATTCGGCACAACCCATCCGTGTACCATTATTACATTCGGCGCGGGGATTGCTACCGATATCTAGAGGTAATAACGAGTGTCACAATTCGTGCCTTCTTTTTATCGATGGTGCGTTCGCAGCAAAATGAAATGGCCTTTCAAGATTACAAGAAAGCCGAGGTGCTGAATCCTGACGACCCAGACGTCAAGGTGCTGCCACGTGCGTAGCACATTTCGCTTCACGGCATGTAGGCCAAGCTGCGCCAGTATCAATCCAACACGCCGTCTATGCCGACTCCACAGCCACTCGCTCGACAACCTGGACATGTGCATCCGGTCAACGTTCGTGCGAGGATGTATCAAGACAAGAGCTTCAAGAAAGTCGAGCTGGCAAGGCAGGCGGCGGTCAAAGCCCAGAGAGCATACACAAGACTGCAGCAGGGTCTGCCAGATTTGACATCACCTACACGGAGGCGGTTCCCAAGTTAATGCAGCGCGGGGTCAACACCTCTCAACGACACGACTCGATGGCAGTTGATGCATATTACTCGATCACCTTCAAGTCGACGTGGTCGTGGGGTCTATCCCTACATTCGTCCACGTCGCTTGCATCTATGCAAACTTTTCAATGGCGTCGAGCAGTTCGGCCGATTCCGTCACGTAATTCAGCGGCTCCAAGTTGACAATCTGCGCCTTCACACGTACTTCGTCGTTGAGGGGCTCGGCTTTGCATCGCATGCGGAACAAGTACGGTCGGAATTGCGCGGCTTTGAAACTTCCTTCAAACAAACCCATGTTGGTGTCCTTGAGCTCGGCCAGTTCGTCCGCCGACTTGCCCAACATCACAATCTTGCCCTGGTCGTTAAAGCACGATGTCCACGTCGACCCCGACGTGTCTTGGATCACCATCGACAAAATGTATCGATTCTCGCAGCTGGCATACACGGTCTGGCACTTTTCGCAGTTGAAATTCTGTGCCGCATCAGGCACGACCTTCTTCTGGCATTTGACACAAGCTTGGTACCACACCCCAGCGTCGTGTTTGATGAAGCTCACCGTACCCTTGACAGTGATATAGTCAGGCTTTTGGCCATACCCCAATCGTTTCTCCTTGATGTCAGCGATGTTGGAGCGTTGATCGAATGGCCCCATGCCACCGCCGACTCCGCTACCGCCACCACTCAACGATTTGGTGCTTGTGGACGCACCGCCCGCGCTATACCACGACAAAAGCCTGGCCGCTTCAGGGAGCGGGGGATTCGTCACAAAACTCGTCGACGAAAACGTGCCAATTGTACGTCCGCTATAGTCGCTGATGCGGCACCCCTTGATGGCCAATACTTGGTTAGTCCAGCTATCGCATGCAGGGTCGGTCGCGCGTTCACTCCACACAGTGACCTTGATTTCGGCCAGTGTATCGTCGACCATGGTGAAGTCGCGTTTCTGGAGTTGCTTGCCCGCCTTTGACGTCAGTTCTGTGCATGGCCCGACATGTTTGACAATTCCAATCAAGTCGATTGTGGATTCAGCGGGGAGTGCCTCAATTGATGCAATCTACAGCCACGCTCAGAAGATCAAAGACTTGAATAAGAACCACAACGTACAGGTTTGAAGTTGTACGAAACAGCCTGAATTGCATGGTCATCTGGCGCCGCGATAATGTCCGACGACGTGTCAAACGTGACCTCGTAATCGTTGTTAATGGCTGAGAACTTTCGGTTCGCCATCTTGATCTTGCCACCGGAAAAGTAGAAGATACCGTTTGGAATCAATCGGTCGTAGAACGCATCAACTGCGTCGTTGAAGAGCGTGGCGCGGATTTCTCCACCCTTGGCGTCCAACAAGTCCACGCTGCAGAGCTTTCCTTGACCGCGGGCGTTTGTCCAGTTCTTCACAGGCGAACGAGAGGTCACTCGGGCCTTAATCGTCCATCGACCACCAGAGTAAGGATTGAGGGATGCAATGTCAGAAATACGCATGCCAGGGTCTTCACGAACTACAGGGGCGTGGTTCTTCATTGGCGTAGTTGACTTTTGGTACGGGTTGCTGCGAGGAGCGGTTTGAGGCGCGGTACTTTGATGTGGAAGATACGTAGATTGAGGGGCAGGAGCTTGGTAAGTTGGGACGACGGCTGCCGGAGGAGCTTGGTACAACGAGGGGGCGGGAACGTGGTGCATCGGTGCTGCAGGAGCAGCAGCAGGAGCCCCACCTGCCTTGTCAATACTTTCGGGGGCTCCAACTCGCTCATACCCAGGTTGAATTTCGGCGATCCCCAAAACAATCAAAATCCTAGACAGTGGTAAGTAAAACGCGGTGGGAACACAAAGTTGACGTCACACTTTCTGTTTTGAACGGTGTTGCCCACGTAGTCCTTGAGACGAACGAAGTAGTTGACCGCTAGACTCCCGTCTTCAAGTGTCTAAAGTTGTACAAAACATCGTTGATACAGGGGATTGATGGAAGGGCGCATTGCGTACCGACGAGAGTTGCGTCGAGAGCATTCCGCTCATGTAGTACTGCCCATCGGACAACACCAATCGGTAGCGGTCACCGCCTTTCCCTGAAGCCGAGTTGATCTTCTTCAGATCGATCACTTGCACCCAAGGCTCAAAACCATCAGGGTTCTGGCGGTTGTGTAGCGTCGCCACAGCATTCGGCGTCAACTGAGTCATCTTGCGGCAGCAAAATCCAAGGGGAAAATGCTTGAATGATGATGACCGGGAATGTATCCGGATCGTCCCTCTCGCGCCAAAATTGATATCCGGATTCCATGTCGGCATGATTTATTTTATTGAATAATTTGAGCACAGTATGTACATACGGAGTACTGTATTACAAAATATAAATAATTTGACCAGCAGTGGTGACTCTCAAGTGTGGAGGGAAACCGAGATCGCCAAGTCGGTGTCTGCGATGAAGCATTGTGGCCAGGGAAGACGAAGGGGGCGTAATGCTATGCGTGAATTGGGATGGCGTGACTTTAGATACGTTGACGAAGGTCTGTAGAAGAATCACTCAGTCTAAATCTTGCAGCAGTCGAAAACTAGCTGTGATAGGAGTCACAACCAAGTTTTGAGTTCCGTTTAAAACGCGACAAGGCCCCTCGACGTTGTGTAAGCGTCGAACAGCATCGGTAATTATCGCGTCACCCTGGCCGGGTAGAAATTTAGCGCTCTGCCTGCATATGCTGAGCCTCATAGGACTTGCCGTTCCCACGAGCATCCCACGAAAACGGTATCGAGCAACGCCTTCGTCGCGAAATGCTTGAGGAATAGGCAGAGCCTGATAAATAGCTGCCTGGAATGTCGTGCCCACGCCCTGAATACTCACTGCCGGGTTTAAGCATGCACCGAAGACAGCCGCGTTGTCGCTGAAACCCTAAAGTGTCCAATCCAGGTCACGTCGAGTGATGATTGACAACTGTTCAAAGCAATTTCAAGTGGACATTGGTGCACTGGGAACCACAGAAATCGGTGGAGGCAATGGTGGAGTCTCGCCTCTTCCTTTCCATGATAGCTTTTGGACTCCTCTTGACGGGAGGGAGAGCCAACGCAATGCATGGACGACAAAGTCCATTTTTTAGAGACACACCATGTCTTCCTTCGGCGTCAGGAAATCACCCTCGTCATACGGGGTTGTTTGCGCATACGCACCGCCGCCCATGCTGGCAGGATGGACAGGCGTGTTCGGGGACTTGTCTTGGTTCAAGTTGCGATCGGCGTAGTTCTTGCGAACGAAGAAGACGCCGCCGATGATTGCGATGACCACGCCAACGATACTCGCAACGACAAGGATCGAGTTGGTATTGCTGATGGTCGTGTCTTGGAGGGTCGCCTTGGATGGATTTCCAGCATCGCTCATGACAACCTTTGGGGAATCCGTCATGGCGATAGGATCGGTGGTGGGGGTCAATGCGGTAGGTTTGGGCGTGAACCCCCCACCCGCGGCTTGGTCAATTAATGGAGTGGGAAGCAAGGTCGATGGGTTCACGATGGGAATGTCCGAAGGGGATGTCGTGGACTCTGCAGGTTTTTCCATGGGAGTATTGGTCGTGGTCACTTGAGTCGACGCATTGGATTTGCCGCTCAAACGCGCAGCGACAGATGCGCACGAGTCCACTGTCGACTGCAAAGGCGCACACCCCATCACAACTGTGGCGCGGTTTGGGATCGAAACGCAGCACGATCCGAAGGGAAGACCTGGTTGCGCACCAGGACACGCCCCGGCAACGTTGACATTGCTACCAGAGCATGGAGTGCCACTCGCAACAGTAAACACGCCGGCGCCTAGGACACTGATTGTATCTGCGGACGCAACCGATGCCAGGGCGGCGACCACAATGGAGACAGGCTGGAGACACTTCATGGCGGCGACGTGATGAGTTGCTTGAGAGCGAACTGTGTACTACGCAAGCGCAGTAGAAGAATGTGATTTATCATGGCGGTGTCGCAGAGGGTGGGCTCGACCCGTCCGCCATACGAGATCCACCGGCGCCCTCCTGTTACGCATGCGTAACAAATACGTCTAAAGTTATTTAGCATACGTTAAACACTTGGCAATCAGCCAGTCGTTCGACCGTCTTCGTTTTAATACTGTGTTCAGGGTGTAGTTTAAATGCTAACATTGCATTTAACGTGTTAAACGACAAGGTGTTTTCCTCGTATTGTAACGCACTGGTTTTATCGAACAGACACAACCAATCTGGCGGAAGCAACGAAAAATCCTTGGATATACAACCGTGACGCACTGTAAAACTCGGCATTTTTATGTTTTATTCGCACAATTCAACCGTCCCCATATTCGTGAAAACTGCTCCAAACTAGTCATGCCATATTGCCACCGGAAATCTATGCGGAATCAAGATGGCGTCCCAAGTTGAAGATGAAGTCTGTGCGATACGCACAAGCCACCACCGAAGAGGACTACGTACCTACACATGACGAGGAGTCCGCCTGCGCCATCTCGATGTCGTTCACTTCCAGCGCAAAAATCCGACGTCTCTGCATCGAGCAATCGTTTCTGGAGCCGTTTGTGGGAGGGGTGTTCAGTCGAGTTGTCGTGGCACTCCGGATAAAATATCCGGAGTGCCAATGCAGTAAAGGATCTGCGGCGCGGCCGTCTGTTTCGGGTGCGCCGTGCCGTGAAGTGTATGGGCCAGGCGCATCGTACACAGACGAGGAGGGTGCATGCATCGCCGGCCCGATCTGTATGTAGCCTTCGTTCGCAAGGTTGGACGCATCCAGGGGAGTTGCGCCGCTCGACGCAATGTTGGGTCCAAACAGGCTGCGCTAAGTTGCAATTCGATGAACGGCCCGCAGCAATGCAACCTTGTTGTTCACTGGGGTTGCTACAATACAACCTTGGACACGTGTATAGCAAGTCTATGCCATGCCGACAAAGGGTCCGTTTTGTCGCCATTAGACGCTAGTACGTCACAACTGCGCGCAAGCAGTTGCCGCTCTTGAGCGCTTTGATGGCGTCGTTGATCGAGTCCACACCTTGAAACTTGTGCGTGATGAAGTGGTCTACACATATGAGCATCGTCAGCTACCCGTTCGACACGAAATGCGGAGGGGTAGCGTACCAATGGGCAGCTTTCCTTCCATGGACTGCTGCACGAGTTGTGGAACCTGCGTGCGACTCTTGTACCCGCCAAACGCCGTCCCCTTCCACGTACGCCCTGCCAATTGTTGCATCCTGAGTACGGCGCGACCTGGAATGGTCCAAGTTGCTACCTGTGATTAACTGAAATGGGCGGGTTTGGATCTCGTGTCCTGCCGCCGCCACGCCAATGACGCAGCTCTCGCCCCACCCGCGATGTGACGCTTCCAAGGCCGCACGCATGACCTACCTCCGCCATGAGTTATCGAAAAGGACGATGCAGTACCTCTGTGTTGCCCGTGCAGTCGTACGTGTAGTCGACGCCCCACTTCGTTTTTTCCACCAAGACTTGCTGAATCGGCACATTGGATGCCGTCGGGTCTGATGGATGTGTCAGCACCACATGCCAGAATCCATGAGAATGGTGGTGGAATGGACAAACCAATGCAGTCCGTGGCGCCCAGCTCTTGCGCCATCGCGAACTTGGACGTGTTGGGGTCGATGGCGAAGATGCGGTTCGCGCCTGCTTTCTTGGCGGCCTGGATCACGGCCAGACCCACTGCACCGATGCCAAACACTGCCACGGAACTGCCTGGCTCGACTTTGGTCGTGTTGAAGACGGCGCCTGACGACAGTCGTTAGGTCGGTTGAGCGGGATTCGGTTTGTTGAGTACAAACCGAATCCTGTGGATATCCCGCATCCGAACAAGCACATTTTGTCGAGGGGGGCGGTGGGGTCGATCTTGGCCGCTGAAATCTCGGCGATCACTGAATACTCGGAAAACGTGGAGCATCCCATGAAGTGATACAACGGTTGCCCATTGATGGAGAACCGTGACGTTCCGTCCGGCATGACTCCTGCCTTGGTCTATGAGGTGAGAAACACATGGACGATTGACGGCACCTTTTCCTTGGGTGCCGCGGATCTCGGGGCACAGGTTTGTCTTGGGGGATTCGCAAAAGATACACTCGGGCTTTTGGCACTCGGGCGTGTAACAAGGAATGACGTGGTCACCAGGCTTCACGGACGTCACGCCAGGTCCAACGCTCTCCACGATGGCTCCAGCTTCGTGCCCCAAAATACATGGGAACAAACCTTCCGGGTCCTCGCCATTCAACGTGTACAAGTCGGTGTGGCACAACGCGTTGGCTACGACCTTGACCCGTACCTCGCCCGCCCTGGGCGGGGCGACTTCAATCGTTTCAACCGACAACGGCGCGTTGGGCTTCCACGCTACAGCGGCTTTGCATCGAATGACCTGTCCAGCTGTCGAGCTGTACGCGGCCGCCGCAACGATCGAGCGGAAGGGCAGAAGCGGCTTGACCAAACACCGCAGCATCGTCTGATGTGGAAACTCGTTGGGATTTGAAACGTATCCATTCGAAATATATTTTTATTTCAATCAATACATTTATAAAATGAAGGCCACAGCAAATCCATGAATCGCTTTTTTAAATTCCATATTTGAGAACCACATGTTGTCGTCATGACGCGATCAAGGACGGCTTGCTCCACGAGACGCAGCCAGTCCTTTTGTTGTGGTAGAAGTATTCTCCCGTGGCTTCATCGAGAACCATCTCGTACACTTCGGCGAGCATCTGCTGGAGCTTGCGCCGGGCTTGGCGCCGCCGAATGAGTCGCTGGAGGTACTGAGCTGCCTCGTCCGAGCTGCCGTGCCGAATGGCATTCACTTTTTCTTGGACGAGAGCCGCGCGGTGGGTGCGCGGAGACATCAAGTCGGACTCGTCGACCCACTTTGGTTTCTCCCAGCTCACTGCTTTGGTGACAGTATTGTAAAAGTAAAACTGCGCGCGGCTGTCGTCCCAGACCTTGACGTACACCCGCGATATCATTGCACGGACTTGCCGCCTCGCCATGGCACAACGAACCATGCGCTGGATGCGTTGTGCACCTTCTTGTGCATCTAGTGGCTCTTGATTTGTGACGTGTGCCGCTCGCGCAGGCTTCTTGTCGTCGGCGGACGAAATGTCGTCGTGGCGCCCCAAGAGCTTTGGCTTGGTCCAACTCACTTCCCCCGTCTGCCTGTTGTAATAGTAGTAGCGCCCTGCAGATACATTGAGACCCATGTTTATGATGCCACTGGAAGTCGCAGCCAGACGTGTCCTTGCTCGAGGATAGCCTCACCCGACACGGGGTCGTGAACTTTGCGGTACACTTTGTGGATCAGGCGCCGGACGCTCTCGATCGCAAGGCGGCGGCGGTATGCTCGCTGAATAAATTGGGCCGCTTCGACTTGGTTCAACTGGCGCTTGACTTTTTTGCGTTTCCGATGGTCGTTGTCGGCCGTGAGCCCAATCGGCGCATCCCACTGCGCTGTCTCCGTCATCTTGTTGAAGTAATAGCTATGGGCAAACGCTCAAGTGGTGAGAATCCGCCATCGGTCAAACGTGGACAGCTCCATCGACTGCACGGAAGGAATCACTGTCCAACACGGCACAACTCGTACATGTTGCCCGTCGCCGGGTCTTCCATCCGCTGGTACACACTTCGCAGCAGCGCCTTCAAGTGTTTTCGCGCCTTGCGCACTTTCCACATCTCCTGGATCTTGCGGACAGCATCGGCGCGTGTGAGGTGCTTGGACTTGAGCGACTTCTTCACATGGCCCATGAGTGTTCTGTACCACACGATCATCACATAATCGTCACGTCGAAGGATGTTACCGAATTCCCGTGTCGATTGTCGTCATGGTCTCGATTGCTGTCTTCATTTTTCGTTCGATGGGGTATTGAGACGCCGCGGCCTGGGCGGTTATGTCGAGGAATGACGATGTGTGATGGAGCATGCCGTTGAGCTCGAGAAAGTCTTGCTCAAGCTTCAAGCTACATGATTGTCCAGTGCTGTTACGGCACAAATGGGATTGCGAACTCGACCGCACTGAGTGAGATGGTCGATCCAGTCTGCTTTCGAGTCTCGTTCATCTGCGTGATCTTGTCATGGAATCGTACGTGGCGCAAGTCTGAAGTACCGCATAGAAATGTCCATGAATGCGCGAGGCGAACCGGCGGGTGCCTCGCTTCAAAGCACGCGTCGCAATAGTATCCCGTTCGCTGGGCGTCAAATCTGAAAGCAGCATGGAAAGTGGAGCTGCTGTTCGATGTGAACTGCGATGTGTGTTACCTTGCGCAGTGGTAGCACTTGCGCGTGGCGACATCGCTTTTGCATGCAATCGAAAACGCACAGGTGGGGGGCGTGGCCTACTCATCAATTCGTATTCGACGAATGGCATCGAGATCGTACCAAGTACGCTCGATCGGCACGGGCAACGGGGGGTTGGATTTGCACGATCCGCTTGACGTGCGAGTGATCTTGAATTGTCGGAGGAAGGACTGGCGGTTTGAGCAGGGGGCGAGTGGACTGGTCGGCATACCTAGCTCGCTCGAGGGGGCTTCCAAAGCAGGCGGGCCATCCAGGATACGCACACTGAGAGCTTTCTGCGTGCATGCGAGGGACGTCCTCCTCCTTTTCAATTTCACGCAAGCTGGTGTCGAGTGCTGAAACGGCGAAACCTATTTTGAGCGCATTTTCGCGACGCCATCGGGAGACTGCGGGTTGGTTTTCACCGCCCTTCTCCCCGATGAAGATTCTCATCGTGAATGGGTTTGCCAATGCCAATCATGAGCGATATCTTCACTTCAAGCACCTGGTCATGCAAGCCCTACGTTCCATCGAAAAGCTCGACGTCACAGGCATCACGATTGTGGTATGCCGGTCTGCCGCGGTTCCGACCGATTGTGAACGCCCATGTAGGAAAAACATCGCAGTGGCCTTGCCGACTACATCTTTGAACTCCACACAGACAACGCCGATCCTGCAGCCATTACACGGTTCGACGGACTCGACTTTGTCTTTCTCGACGGCGATTGCACCATCCCTCCGTGGCATCCAGGCTACAAGAAGGTACGATCTCTTGTTGCTGAACGAGCAGTGACGATACAACGAGTGCCTCGTAGGTGTGCACCCTCGTCAAAATGTGCATGATGACTGGGAAGTGTCTCTTTGGCGCCAACTTTGCAGCGTCTGTCTTGGCGTATTTGTGCTCGACGGGAGGGGAAATGATCCATGCCCTCAACGGGAATGGCCGCGGCGCCCCGTTGAAGAATGTCCAGTCGATTCCGGCCCCCGTCGACGACGGTACTGTCCCCTTCTAGTCCAAGCATTCCCCCATCATCGCCATGTCCAACCCCAGACTTCCTGCCGCATGCCGTGATCTTGGACAGCGACACTGGGGATTACTACACGTACAATGCTGGCCGACTGGAATGGGAGCCCAAAGGTACACAATGTTGACCGTAGTTGGTCGCCTCGATAACGCTGACATGCGCTAGGCAACACGGGTTTGGTGGTCCACTCCAGCGATCGCGATCGAGATTTCGGGGCCCGGCCCAACTCTGCGAGGGCCGGCACACGCCGTCGCGACGGCAAGCTCGATTCAACATGCTGTCGCTTGGCCGACTTGAAGTGCTGCGGCCGATTGGAGATGCAACACCACGTTTACCTCAACGGTCTTCGCCACGGGCAATTCATTGTCAACTGCGCGAGCAAGTGGGACTTGGATGAGCGCATCACGAGCACGAGTGGAAACAAGTACCTGCCATCCGACTCCCCCTACACAACATCCTGACCATTGGGACCAGATACACGGTGTTTGTCGACAGCCCGCGCGGTCCGCTCCTCATCGAGTTTGGCAACGCCCTCTGCGCACACTTTTCCATCGCCCACGACTACCCCGAAACAACGTACGTCCCAGTGAACGATCCATGGACCAATTTCTGAACCCTGTGTGCCTGCAGCGTGATCCTTCAGAACTTTGTCGAGTCCAAATTTGAACAGATCAAGCTGCACGAGCACGTGGACCGGAGCTACATGTCGTCGGTGTCCGGGATGGTCGCGACGACCGGAGGATCCGGGCCTCCGAAACACATCGCAAGTGCGCATCGACAAACTGTCCTCTCCTACTGTGTGTTCTATCGTCGTTTGTCCATGTTTAGGCTTGTCTGCAAACTTTGAGCCGTCGATCCCACCGCCCAAGTTGGATGGAACGGTCAAAGGCAAAAACTCCCCGAAAAAGTGCCGCCCGCTGTCCGCCGCGTCGACCGTCCTTAAACCAAAGATCAGGCCTCACTCCGCAACGCCAACCATGCTGTCGAAGCACGTTCATACGAAACGAGTGGCCGCCTCGGACGACGTGGATGGCTCCGACAACCAAAGGGAAGTTCACGTCACACCATCCCATGACTTGGTCGACTGCAAGAATCCCGCGACGATGCCGGCGGCAATCTCGACCACAAAGTTCGACCCAACCGTAGCGGAGGACGCGTTTAGGCCGCCCAAAGCAAAAGGCACGGTCAAACTTTGCCGAGTCGGCGACCCCCACAAGCCATACTGTGCCTACCATCGCTTTCAAAAGATGGGGCAGCCTGGGGGTGGTGCATACTACTCCGTCGTGAACGACGCGCCGTATGTGGGGCCATTTGAAAAACGCGTTGTCGAAGGCGAGGTACGACGGATCGATGGGGGGCACCTGACAACGGTCGAGTAGAAAAGCAAGCTGCGGTGGATGGCGGGCCCGTTTCGAACCACGTTTGGGAAAGCGTCAACGCACGTTCACCCGGCAGAAGGGATTCTGGGGGGCAAGTACCCCTACGACGTTCGCAATATTCCTGCACATGTCCTCGAGCCAGCACGTAATCACGACCACCCCAAGCCAAAGCCCAAGATCAAACCTAAGCGAATAATATCATGACGGTACCCGTGCCTTGGTCAGTTCATGTCGTCTATGCATTTCGATGAGCAACAGTGTCCATGCAAGCGGAAACAGGAGCGGTTGAGTTTGATCCTGCAGCTGGAGGAATTCGCATGAAACGCCACAGTGACATGTGCCTTGGTCGCCCTCCAAATCTATATAAAGCTCCCCTTCCATCAAATCTTCGTCGTGGTAGAATGCCATGAAGAGAGCCGCCACCCCTCATCGCCCCACGACAACTCTTACCTCGCGTCCGCGGGCCCGAGACGCGTCTGTCCTGCCGAATCTCAAGCTGAACATCGCCCACGCGTCCATCCAAAAGGAAATCAACATCCTCTTGGATGTGGATCCGACGTCGGACGAGACATTCCAAACCACTTTGTACGCGGCTTGATCCTGAACTCGATTGTGAAGGATGGGTGTTTTAGACAATTGACAAAGCAGCCTTCGACTGCGTCGGGCTCGATCCACACCAGTCAGCGAATACCCGTCTCCCTGCCGTCGCCCCATCGGTACACGCCGCGAGCCGAAACCAGGCAAGCGATAAAGGTACCAAGCGCTTTCATCCATTTGACCGTTCTCACGTGGCGTAGACGTTCCACCACTTATTCGTGGCTGAGCCCGAGCGACAGAGGCGGCAGCCGTCGTCGTCAGCAGGTCCTCTCGACTTGGAGCTCGACGACGACAACGATAGCCCTGCACTGTCAACAAAGGCGACGATTTCGAATGAAGATGAGCGATACATGACGAAAGTTGCCAACCTCATCACAGACAGCGCGGGCAAACGTGCGTCTCCTGGCCACACGTTTTGCGACTCAACCGTGGATGTGTTGTGGCACTTGTAGAAATTGCCATCCCCAAGACCCCGCGCCACAATGGTTGGAGCATCAAGGACGTTAAAAACAACTACGGCTGGGTGAGTCGTCGTCGATGCCCCTCTTCATGCTCTGACACTTGACGGCGATGCCAGGGTGGCAAAGTGCGGTTCATGGCGCAAGTGCGAAAGAACCGGCACGAAGTGGACCCACCGGCGGCACAGGGCGACTCACGGCCATCCGTGAAGGTCGACGCTGCTGACATGGTTTATCCACACACTGTCTTTCGATGTTCTTGACATGATGGGACGATGATAGGAACACGTCAATGTGGACAACATGCTGTGCTCGGAAAAGTACATTGACATGTGCTTGAAGATGGAGCTCACGCCTGAGCCATTGATCATCCCAAAGCACGAGGCGTGCGGCATCGACTTGTCGTACTATGGCACGGGAAGCAAACCCATGGACGCGCTGTCTTCGTGGTAAACAGTTCAAATCGAACCTCCGCCGAACTGTCCTCGTGACAACGCGGTAGCTTGGGGTCGATTCCAAAACTCCAGACCCTCGTGGTCAAGGAGAACCGGCTCACGGACACGGCAATCGTCAACATCCTCCAGAGCTCCGATTTTACGCGACTCCTGACACTCAACTTGTCCAAAAACCGCATTCGCCAACGAAGCACGCGTGCACTCCACACGTTTTTAAACCAGAATCGAGTGGTCCAGACGCTCGTGTTGTCGGATTGCGAGTACAATCGCTGGATGGATCTGAGCGGCATGATCACCTCATTCCGGTCGGTGTTTTGCATGTAGCCTCCACTCAGACTTTATCAAGTGCATCGAAGAACCGTTGGCGAAGAATCCGTCGCTGACGGTGCTCGACATGAGCAAGAACAAACTCGACGACTTTTGCGCCACGGCGCTCGCGACGATTTGCAAAGACAACTCGAATCTCACGATGCTTGACTTGAGCTGGAACAGCTTCCGATCCAAAGGCGCGGCAGGCCTCGCGGAAGCGCTGCAGCAAAACCAGTGCCTTCAAACGTTGCTTCTGAGCTGGAATGGCATCGGACATGGCGACGGCGCCAACTGCCTCGCACACGCCCTACGCGACAATGCATACCTCCAGAAACTTGACCTCACGGGGAACTCGATCATGACCGAAGCCACGCTCGCCTTGACCAACATGTGGGCCGAGTCGACCGTGCTTGAAATTTTGATTTTGGACCAGAACCCGATCGGCTCAGAAGGCTTACGGTCCATCTTCCGCGCGTACAGCAACCCCGCAGCCAAGACACACGGTCGTGTGATTCAGTTTGACGCATGCACGCTGCACCACAACGACCCGGTCTTTGACCCCAACTTGTGCAGTACGGAGTTCGTTCCTGTGGTCCGTGTAAACCTGATGTGAATAGGTGGCAGCTACACGATCGATATGGACAACGTAAAGACGTTTTGGCGGGCTCTCGAGATTCTGCGCCTGGCCAACTTGTACCCGAGCGCTTGTGATCTGGATAATGTCGTGCACACGACCCCCCTCGAGGCCAAACACCTCTCACTTCATCGCATCGTCGTGACCACTGAAAACGTCGCGCACGATGGAATGCCGGGCCCTGGGGCACCCACGATAGCCCAGCTGCTTGCTCTCTCAACGCAAACAACGCCTTGGCACGTACCCATCTCCGGCACGATCTCGTTCGACTTCAAGTACAACACCAAGGCCCACCACCCCGCGGACGTTGACCCAGGTAAGGAGGTCCGCTATATCATTTCATGCACATTCTGGACCAGCAAGCCTGTCCTGACGAAACACGTACTACGCATTAGATTCGGTGACTGTATTTTGGGACTCGTATTCCGCCCTCGAGTTTGACTCGGACCGAGTCAAGTACATCAAGATGTACTTGAGCGACCACTACGTCACGGCGTCCCAGGCACGGCATTTTCTCACCACCGTCACAGCGATCGATTCCCACGCCGATCTGGTGCAGTTGTACGACGTCTTCTTGTGCAGTGTTCGAAGGAAGTGTCCCTCGTGGCTTGGCTGTAGGTTGCTACAAAAGGTCTCCGACACGGAGAACCTCTTGGCATGGGCGTCCAAGCCGCTCCTGCCAACCAAGCACCAGTCGTTCCTTAACGAATGCGCGGGCAAGCTGCTCTACTTTGACGGGACCATGCCCAACGGCGCGTACTCGTTGGATCTGTCGTCGTCGATCGACCAACGCATTGCGTCCCAACTTTTTCGCATCTCGGGCGACGACAAGCTGTACAACAAGCAGAACGATGGAGCGAATACGAGCCAGACAGGCAACTGGGAATGCTTTCGCAACGAAACCTTAGACGGCGAACGGTACACGTTCCATCGGTCGTTCGGATTGCCAGAGAAGGGGCTGTTTGAGTTTGACTTTGTCGTAACGTCGCGGCTACCTCGCGCAACGCCGGCAATCTCCCCCGAGGTAACCAAGACGTCCGATCTCGCCGAGGGCGATTGAATCAAGTGTGGTCGTGTAGTTGTTTGAAAAGGTGTGCCACCAAGCGTCGTGCCAGTGGTGTCCGACCGATATATCCAGTGGCCACCACGATGTCGCTTTGAACCGAGCGCAGTCGACGAAACAAACACCTACGTTTTCCGTCAATGTGGCGACGGCGGCCGGAAACAAGCGCGAATACGATGCCCGACGAGCTGGTGACCGTCCACCCTCCCCTCGTATTCTCATTGCTGTTTTGTTACAGAGATGAAGCGATTCTTTGGCCTGGGCCAAGTTGGAGTCACCGCGACCCAAGTCATCGAACTGGCCGAGTGCTTTCACGACGTGGACCAAGGCCGTGTCGACTGCGTCGTGACCATGCTCAATCATGTACTCGACCTCGGCGAGTTGTTCCCACGCCTTCGAACGACTTGGACACCTAGCGAGGTCACGTCGCTCGTGCAACGCGTCGGGTGGCTCAATATTTGGAATCCCGCCTACGCTGAAATGGTACCTTCGCTCGGACGGAGCCTGACGACTTCATGTGACTGCATTAGGAATACACGCTCAATTTGACCGTGTGGGAAGACCACCAAATGGCCGTCATCTTGGCACAGCTTGGGGACATCGAACCGGGCGAAAACTGGGTCGACGAGACATACAACAACATCTTTGGATGGGAGCTGCCCTTGAGCTGGGTTCAGGGCAAAATCCCGCACGCCGGTCGCCTTTATTTGCGGTACACAACGGGGCCAAACCATAAATACCGCGTCGTGTCGGCCCGCGAAGAGTTGAAGAAGCGAACGTTGTGCGGCAAAATGTCGGTGGTTGAAGCGTTGCCGCCAAATACCAAGCAAATCGATATGCGACCACCGACCAAGATGCGACGGAAATCCATCCACCAAGCCGCTTTGTAGAGACAAAACGCAACTCCAACCCATTCATCGTCTCAAGCACGGCAAACTGCGTAACAACATCCACGATGTTTACAAGTTTGACGTATTATCGCTGTGGTCCTGTCACGGACTCGATGAACTCGTCCGACGCTTGTAAGTCGGGGAGGAGCCGCCTCGTCCGTCGTGTTCGCTGCCTCGTCTTTTGCCTTGAGTTCTCCTGGTTAATTTTGTCGCCAAGGTCTTTGAACGCATCCGTTTCTTCCTGCAGTGACGCCAGTAGCCCAACCAGTCGGGCCTTGAACGGCTTGGAGCTGTCGCCTGTTCACCACCATCCGTTTTGCCCAACGCTAGTTGACATGGGCATGACAAGTAGGAACGTACCAGGAGGGATATCGTCTGCAAGGTTATTATGCACCACGAGATCGTCCGCCTTCATGCACAGAGTAGCCATGGCTCCGCCAGAAGCGTCTTGGGGACCAGACCACCACTGTTGAATGTTCCCTCGCGACTGAAGGTGCATGCGAGAGTCTTCGCCAGCACTGCTGCTCGAGTTGCTGCTGCCGACGACTGTGACGGGGCGGAGGGGAAGCTTCGGGGGCGATGATGCGGTGGGTTTCACCAGGACTGGAAACGACTGGGAGTGCGCCAGTCGATTGACCCGTGTCGATTCTTCATCGCGCCGCGCGAGAGCGACGCGACATTCTTCGAGTTTGTCTTGGTGTTCTCTCGACCTTGCGTCGGCCGCTATAACACTCGTTAGACGATGCACGAGTGGTTTCTGACCGCGATGTCATACCTGCCAAGCGTATATGCAGGTCGTGGATTTGGCCAAGGAACCGCTCATGGTCTCGTTCGTACGAGTCAAGTGTGCGCCGGACGATATCGAGCTCGGCCTGGTTCTGGTCCAGGACGACCTGATGGGCACGTTGTATGGCCAACATATCTTTGTCTTTGGCAAGACATTGCTGGTTGGATTCGTGAACTTGTCTCTGCATGAGTTCGTGCTCTTCCAGCAACGATTGAATGCGTGACTCTTGGTCTGCAATGGTGTCTGCCAGTTGCCTAGTTGTCCATGCCATTAGATACGGACGGTTGCGGTTGTTTTGTCTTCAGCTTTCCGTGGGCGAGTCGTACCGGTGAACATCGGTCTTCTTTAGGTCGGCAAATTCGTACACGTGCTTGTCGATGTTGGCGCGCTCGGCAGCTTCGTCTCGTTCTTGTTTCATAAGGTGCAAGGCTTGCTTGAGGCATGTGATTTCGTGTTGAACAGCCTTGCCCGGATCGGTGGCAATGCCGTGCTGGCAGGATGGACAGTAGAACTCGAGATGGTTCTCGTCAATGTTGTCGTCATTCCTCACGGGCTCTGTCACGCATGCACGGTGCCAAAACAGTCCGCAATTCCCATCGCACAAGATCAAGTCATTGCTGGCGATGTGGCACACGGCGCACAAAGGAGGTGCTTCGTCGTCATGTGGTGCTGAGGGAGAGGAAGACGAAGCTGCTTGGGATTGCTCTGGCGGGTCGCTCGCTGGGGAATTCATTTGCTGGCGGCAACGATCGCACGTTGTGGGGCCGGCGGCAGAGCTATTGCTCAGCTGCGCAACGTACTGCGACAACGCTTCGACCTTTCGCTCCATCTCAGCTAACAGTTGCTTGTACTCGGACACGTTCTTCTCTGCATTCACGTGCGGCGCGTTTTGAATGTGTTGTGCACGGGAACCAAATCGAATCGTTGACAGCGTCTCTTCCTACAATGGCGAGCTCGTGGCTCAATGGAGGGGATTGAAAATGGGCGGTCGTCGTACGAGGTTGTCGATGCTGCTGGAGCACGTCAAGACCAAGTGCGTCTTGGCATTGCCCCCCAGTGAATGCTATTTGCAACAACGCCGTGGGTGGTTGGGTACTATGACGGTAGCTGGTACAAACTTGAAGCAAACGCGTAAGCTTGCTGTCTCGATACGGAACATGCTTGGATTTGCCGTCCGTTAGGGCGTTGATAACAAGCCCCAGTGCAGTCAACGACTGCAGCGCAGTGGCCATGAGTCAAGTTACAAGCGGGGGTTGGAGGGTTCGGACGAAAGGCTCACAACACCCACCTTGTTGATGTATTTGGCTTCGTCCAAGCGTTTGCCAGTCGCGGCAGTCTTGCGCACAACTTCGGACCCAGCCAAGTCGACGACAAAGAGCTTCCCTGTCCGTGGTGGGTATCGTCGCATGATGCCACGTGTCTGTCCCTAGTGAATTCGTTTTACCTGTTTGCTTTAGACCTGCCGTCGTTGGCCGTGTGATCGTCAAGACGAAGATGCAATGACTGCGGCTGGACTCGGCATTCATGAGGTGGCCCCCAGTCGATCGATTTGCAATGCTCCGTTGGATGGCCTTCATGGCTGCAGCTGTAGACGTCACGGCCAAATCAGTAGCTCCTTCAACCCAGATCCCCTTTTCTCTGCGATGATGACGAAGTGAGGTGTCGGCCCCTCCATCCCCGCGTGCACCACTCACTTGTCTTCGCGCACCCGCAAACTCACGTTGGACGGAGTGAGCAAATCGCCGATTCGTTCTTGGTACACTTCAAAGCAACTCGTGGTCACGGCAATCGCTTCCTCTGTATCATCCATGACGCCCATTGCCAGCAATATTGCCACGTCAGGGGGGTCACACCTTCACCCAGCTCTGATATCGAGTCAAACACGCGTTGCACGAGCCGTGGGAGGAGTCCAGGGTCCGTCTTGGAGCCGACAATCGTGTGTGTCTTGCCGCTGCCTACAACCATCCATTGATGAAGATACGGCATCTGGCGATGTCGTACCAGTTTGCCCATACGCCAAGACAGTGTAGTTGTACCCCAGTAAGAGGTCGTTGACCACAGGGGCCCCTACGTGCTCAAACACTTGGTCCTGCGTCGCTTCCCCCGAAAACACCCGCGCGAACGACGAGTGCCGCGATGCGTGTCCTTTAGCATGGGACACGAGCACCGTGTGTGGGTCGGGAAAGTCAAGCCACGGTGCCGCCGCCGCTTCAGTGTCGATATCTGGGGAGCCCCGGAACCGACAACTCACCTGGACGCAGCTAGTTGTCGCCATGGTGCATGCCTTTGATGCCAAATGAAAATAATACATCGTCCACATTCCTGTCTGATTGTAAGAGTACGTCTAAAAATAGTTGGAGCCGCCCTGCCATACTCCCATCAAGCCCGATGGTGACCGCGCAACTTGAAATGAGCTTCGAGACGCTGGCGGTTCACAGGCACCACTCCGAGCCCATGACCAGCCCCTTGAACATCTTCCATGACAAACAGCGACCGGATCGATGGATTCAACACGTCGAGCATGTCGAGGACCGCATGGGAGTTCTGCACCTCAAACAAAATCGGATGTGCCGGCATTGAATGCTTCACGTAGGGATTCAGCAGCTTGACAAGCGCGAGGGCCGTGGCCTTGGGAGTTTGAAACACTCCGAGGGCGTATCTTACAGAGCCCCCATGCACTCGCTTTGTAATTTCCTCGAAGCGGTGGGTCGAGTTGGCCAAGTGAAACACTTGGTCAAACAGCGGGAGGAGATTCTGGGCCACTAGCGCTTGGAGGAGCTGCACCGTTGTCGCAAGGCTGAGCTCGAATTGATACTTGTTCCCCTTGACCTTTCGTCGCGACGCAATCGAGTTGGGGTTGGACGTGTCCAGGAGCACAGTCGCTGCCAGTTCTGGATGCCGTTTGCGCACGCACGTGCGAACGAGAATGTCAAACGTGGCAGGATCCGGCATCAGGCCATACCCAAGCAGCTCTTGCCACAAAAACATCAGCCGACCGATGTGTTCCTCTTCGTCCAGGCGTCGGAGAATCGCCTGCGGGACCGGTTCGCGCTGGCCAGACTCGTTTGGGTAGATTGCTTTCTTGACACCAAATGGGTTGACGTAGATGCCGACAGCCATCGATGCCAGCATGGCAGACGTAATAGCAACAGCACCTCCCGACTCGGACAAGTCGGACGTGTACAAGGCCGTCCCCACGATTGCCCCGAGGCCGGCCAGTCCGGTGTAGACAACTCCCGAGTTGATTCGTCGAAACTGGCCGTGGAACACACCGTGAAGCATCGTGTTTATTGTGACGGTCGACGGCTTGAGGCCCTTGGACTTCATGGCCTCGTACCACTTGAACGCTTCGTCCATGCGATGTTCTTTCCCACACACTTTGATCATAATGTTGTATGAGATCACATTCAACGGGTGCCGCACGTTTTCGTCCACGGACGGCGCTTTGCCCCACGGTTTGGCCGGTATTTTCGCTTGAAGCGCTTCAAATATCTCGACCGCGTCGTCGTAGTGGTCCGACTCAGTCAGGTCGTCCAAAAAGTCGTTCAAATGGTTCACAGGCAGCGTCATCCCAGCTTTCGTTAGCTCGTGGTACCGGACAATCGCCTCCTTGACTTTGCCGGCGCGGCAGTCCATACGGAGGTAGATGCCGTGGCAGACGGCGTCCAAGGCCACGTCGTGTTGCTCCATGTACGCTTTTACCTGAGCTAAACGGGCGTGGTCGTTGCTTTTGGCGCAAAGGATGAAGAGCGAGTGAAATGCCGACATGTGGGGAATGCCAGTCTGACTGTTGGCGCAAGCCAAATCGAACAAGGCAAACGCTTGTGCGGTTTTGTCCTTGGTCGATTCCCGGACGCATGCACCGAGAATCCGCGACACAGTGCGACCAGTCAGTGGCAGCGCTCCGGACTTGGCCATTGCTATCACTTCGTCAAGTAACCCAAGATTCAGCATGATTCGAATCATTTCGTTGTGGACTGAGCCAACAGGTGAGGCCAGCAATGTGGACTTGGTAACGAGGGGACGGGCTGCCTCAAGCAGTTCACTGGATCGGCATTTACCCAGCGTACGGCCCACGTCGCGCCAGTAGTCGAGAGTCACCTGGATCGATGGGTTTTCAATCTTTGCTGCGATCGCGGCCAGTTCCTTCTTGACCCGCGCCTCTTCTGGCACTGTCAAAGCTGGCGCTACTTTTGACTGTCGGTCATGTGTCGCCATCGAAGAGAGGCATGCACGAAGGGGTGCGTCGCGCGACGTTCGTCTTCCAAATCGTGCCAGCATCGTTCGACTTGGTGGTCAAGGTGCGCAAGTTCTGTCGGGATGCTATCCGTACTGTGGCGTATCCGGTTATACTTGGCTGTACTGTACTTGTTAGTAGACGTGTTTGACCATAGTACTACTAGCTCTATAAAGTAGTTGTTGTATCCTAATCGGATATGAAATGACGGGAATATGCAATAATACGACTTCATGCAGTTGACAAACCCGAATACTCAATTAGTAGATACAGAATAACGCAAAATATAAAAACTTGTGTCGTGCGCTTTGACTCTGACATTTTGTGACGGTCTGGTAGATCGAGACACCATGACTCAATGGCGGCCGCTGTATCTCCGACGGCGGCTCAGGGAGGCAAACGAAGATGGCACGTCCAATTGTGTTTCTACTTCTGTCGTGAAGAAGGACTCTTCCCAACCCTCGCGCAGTAACGTGCGCCGGCTGTTGGACTTGATCACGTTGGAGTGGCCAACCTTATGTAGCGGCATCGTCGGTTTGTCGGTATCGTCCATCACGAATTTGTTGTTTCCCAAGGTACTCGGTGCTGCGCTGGACGTTGCATGCGGCAGACCTCCGCCGCGCAACATGTCACACAAGGCGTTCTTCCTCACGATTCTGTCCATCTTCGTATCGGGTGCAACGGCTTCCTTCGTCCGGGTCTACTGTCTTGGCTCCGTCGCCGAGTCCACCGCCAAGCGGTTGCGTGATCGAATTTTTGCTGCGTACATGGCCCAAGATATGCAATTCTTCTCCAAGTCGGAACGCACAGAGCTCGTTCATAGGCTCACGCACGAGTGTCAAACTGCTGCCGACGCCGTTGTGGACATCATCGCCGATGGGTACCGTTCCTTGAATTCATCAATCGGGGCCAGTATCATGCTCTTTCGTTTGTCGCCTACTCTTACGCTCGTGTCGCTCTCTATTCTGCCTTTCCTCGGGGCGGGCGCCATGTCGATGCGTCTGTACCTCAAGGGCTTGGAGCAGCAGTACGACGCGACCCTTGCCGCGCTTCGACTCTCGGCTGACGAACGGATCGGTGGCATTGAAACTGTCAAGCTGTGTACCCAAGAAGCGACGGAGCTCCGAGCATTTGTCGACCAAACGACGACGGTCGCGAAGGCTGGGCGCAGGGCCAAGGCCGTGGAAGGTCTCTACATGGGCGGGCTGTCGTTGTCCATCAACCTGTCCCTTGCCAGTGTCCTGTGGGTCGGGGGCTCAATTGTCGGGAGCGGTGGCCTCACGACCGGCGAACTCACGTCATTCATGATGTACAGTGGGTTCATGTGCCTCGGGTTTGCCCAGCTGTCGACCCTCGGGTCAAAAGTTCGATCCACAAATGAAGCAACTGGTGTACTCTTCAACCTCGTCAACGAGTCCGTTGCATCCACTCCGGAGAGCGAAGATAAGCACCAGTCGATCGAAAACGTCGCAGGTGCCATTACGTTGGAGCATGTGACGTTTGGCTACAACGACCACACTCCGCTCTTCCAAGACTTGACGTGGCATGTTCCTGCGGGCTCAGTTGTTGCCTTGGTCGGGGCCAGCGGCGCGGGCAAGTCGACAGTGGCCAAGTTGATCACACGGCTACTCGAACCATCCTCTGGTAAGGTAATGTTGGATGGTGTCGACGTTGCTGAATTAGACAAGAAATATTTGCGACGTCAGGTGGCCATGGTCCCTCAGGTAGACACTGTTTTTTCTCTTCCTGTTGTGCAACATGGCAGTCACCGATGTCGAGTGTAGAACTCCACGATATTCGCTCAAACTGTGCGCAACGCCATTCTTTACGCCAATCCCACCGCATCTGACGACGAAGTCCGCGAAGCCGCTGCGCTCGCCCATGCGTGTGATTTCATCGCCGAACTGCCACAAGGATACGACACCTTTGTGACTGCGTCGAGTGTGTCTGGCGGCCAGAAGCAACGGCTCGCGCTGGCCCGCGCTCTGCTGACGCATCCAAAAGTGCTTGTCTTGGACGAAGCCACGGTGGCGCTGGAGGGTAGCACCGAACATGGCATTTTGTCCCGCGTGGCGAGCGCTCAGACCACGATTGTGATTGCGCATCGCTTGTCCACCATCCGAGCATGTGCATCGATCGCCGTGCTACACGAAGGTGCAATCGCTGAAGTTGGCACATACGATGAACTGAATCGAGACGGAACTCTTTTTCACTCGCTCGTGGCGTCGCATGCGATTGAGGCGTCGGCCTGAACCACTTGGTTGTGTGAACACAGAGGAAACATGAGCTGTACTGGAGAATTGAAAGAGTCGAGTTGTGTATCTTTTGTTTGTTGATTGTCAACATTTTGCGTGGGCATCACGATGCGAAATGAGACTAAGGCACGCATGCTGCTGATGCAGTGGCACCATTCGCAATGGAGGAGTGCGCTCCCACCCTCTACAAGTAGCTCATGCATGTTGTCGGCCGCAACGATGTCCCGGCCATCCATGCATTGCCGTCGTCTCGGACGCCTCACGAACAGACGACTCGCTGCTTCCGCATTTAGGTTCGACTCAGGCATGCGAATAATCCCGTTGCGACAAAGCATGTCAAAAGCGTTACGAGCGTATCGAAGCGGCACGAAACGACTACGTATTGAATCGCAGGACCTCAGCCACTTCGGCTCGGTCAATGGGTCGGGAACACGTCTTGTCGTCTCTGTGGGTGCTGGTCATCGTCCTGGTCAGCCATGGCTGCCACAGTGCACGGCCATTTACGCAGTGGACCGAGCATGTGGTACGACCGAAACAGAGATCTCGTGGAGGTCCTGATGCCTTCAGTAGTACGGCAAAGTCGCGGGCGACGGGGTCGAGTACGCGTCATTCCAGGGTAATGCCCAATTCGAATGGAGATGCCTTGTGACGGTGCAACTTGTAGTGGAAAGGGGCGTGACCGACGTGCAAGTCACGTTCTCCCGGAGCGACTTGCGCGGTCGCACGGTGGCCCCGATGCTGTACGGCAAACTCGGCGCGATCCCAACATTAACTTCGTACGACTGGAACTTCAACGGGACGCTCGACTCCTTCTGGCTCACCGAGAGCATCCCGAACTTGAAGGTTTGCCAGAACTTCGTTCGTTTCAAGTGCGTGGACACATGGTCATTGCGTAGGCTGGGACGTACTACATAGCGCTTTGGGGGGGCGATTTACCAGGCACGATCAATAACTTTGGTGTCGGCAACAGCACGAACGTATGGTATTACTTGGACATCACGTCGATTGGGTGCATCGACCCCGACAAAACTGGTTCGACACCGCCCGCGTCACCGCAGAGTGCATAACGTTGTTGTGTGTTTGACAGGGTACAATTGCAACTTGCAAGTGGTGTCGATGGCAAAGCAAGCTGCACTTGCCCAGCCTCAACAGAGCATCGTCAACGCGACGGGCAAGCATGGAGTCCCCGTGTCGGGGTGCATGGACTACACGTCGAACTTGCAGTTCTTTTCCATTGACTTGACGAGCCCCCAACTCAGTCTTGTCGCGAAGGTAGACTCACGCGTCCTGAATCATGTCGCGATCGCATTGTGAGGGGGTGGGGCATTCTTTCAAACGTAGTTGACCATTCCTCAAACGTTTGTGCGAAACGATGTGTTTTACTGGGCGCTGTACGACAACCCTGGCAACCCCCTCGACCCAACGACGATTCCTCTTCTTGAAGGCATGGGGTACTTGAGTGACGGCAATGCCACGCTGCAATACGATGTACCGACAATCGGGTAAAATATGCGACACGAGCCGACACCGCGGAGCCCTCACTCGTCGGACGGTAGAACGTACTGGGTACTAGTGTACATGGACGCACCGCCAAAGTTGTCACGTTGCTACCGGTCCACCGGGGTGGCCTTCACGCTGACGTGGTCTGCCGAATCGTGTTCGACGACGCCAGCCATCGACATGTGCCACACGACTTGGCAACGCTTGAACGAAGCTCGCAGCGACCCAAGTCGAAACCAAAGCGTGCTGGACTCGTGGTTTCTCGCGGATTCACCAACGGTCACAGACGTCGGGGCGTTTCCATCGGCCGCGGTACGTGTGGTCCGCTCGATAGACGACATTACGAATCAACTGACTGTGTTATGACGCTGCTGCCGTCCAGGGCTACACGGTGAACATCCGCGACAACTATGCCGGGTCAAACTTGATCTTGCACCTGGTCACAAAGACTACGACCGTCGACATGCTCAACGTGACGATCTTGATCCGGGCAGATGGGCTGCCGACTGAGTCTATTTATGACTACAAATTGCTCGGTCGCGATGCGGCAGCGCTGCCAGCCAACAAGGCCAAGACGTTTCTCGTCTTCAATGAGAATATGCTACAACAAAGAATGCAGACGAAAACGTTGTACACGGTGGCGTGGCCGATGCTCCGGTTTCCGGCCGTTGGCAAATGGAACATTGTGGTCCAAACATCGCAACCGCAGTAATGAGCCACTGCCCGCGCGATGTCGATCCTGACCGGCATCTACGTAGACCGTGGATGCACATGCTCGTGCTGCAAAGCTCCCCGTGCCCAGTCGGCATGTGCGGCGAGTTCGGCACGTGCAAAGTCTCGACAACGTATCAAGGTCTCGTCATCGGGCGATGCCAGTGCATCTATGGGTACGCCGGCGACTACTGCGACCACTTGTACTTGGAAAACTACGAGTCGAGGTCGTACTTTTTGATCTTATCCAACTTTGCCATCCTCCCCGCGGCGATCGTGTCGTTTCAGCGGTCGTTGTATGGTTCGTACACTGTTTGTCACCACTTCAACGTCAATGTGTGCACGGTGCTCTGTGCTTGGGTAGTCGAAGCATTCTTGTTCATGTCGTTGGGCGTGATCTCGAGTGTGTACCACGCATGCGATATCAATTGGGTGTGCCTCGTGCAGTACTCGTACCTACAGGTCCGTGGAGTCAAAACGTTTCCCTTGAGCTCACTTCCCATGTCTTACCCCCACGTGTTGCTAGAAAATGGACTTCATCTTTTCGTTCAATTCGATCCTGCTGTGCTTGTTTCACCTTGCAGGCGTTCGACCCAAGCGAAAGGTACGTGTAAACGTCGTTGCGGAGCCATCTTCGCTGACGTCACACTACCAAGGCTATCATGCAATTCGTGGGACTCACTCTCCTCGTCATCTTGATCGCGATCGATCCAACCACCATGACCAACTGGCTCATCATTGGCGGCCTCGGTGGCGGCCAACTTGTGATTGCATGGACGACATATGTACTGTCTCGAGAGATTTTCACCGTCATCGATGCGTTGTGGTAATGATAGATTGTCTTGGCTCGAGTGGTCATGGGTCGAAGTACGAAAGTCCGAAGGTATGCTCAACTGTTCTGGTTGAAACTAATTTGGTCGTAGAATTCTGTACTCGTTCCTCTTCCTCAGTGGCAACTTCCATGTCCCTCTCTTGGTCCTTGGGGTGTTGCTATGGTCATCAGGGCTCATTTGCTGGTTCCTCAATCGAGGGCCGTCGTACTGGCTGGTAAGTCGCCGCTCGACTGCGTTGCCCACATTGACTGAGTCGGTTGTGCGCATAGGAACACTCGCTGTGGCACATCTTCGCCATGTCGGCAGCTGGCACACTGATGGCTTGCCGAAAGAGTCAATGGTATAAAATCCTCGATGACCATGGCGTTGACGCCCTGCCACGCGTCCATTCGCCAATATCAAAACGCCCCTTCTTTGGCACGAACGAGAACCTCAATGCCTCTGGAAGCTGCATGGTGGCAGTCACGGTGACACCCGCGTGTGCGACGCCAACGCAGAGCCGCGAACTCACCCTTGACCTCGGCGAGATTCAACAAGAAGTCAGCCGCTAGTTGGCTAGTTGTTGATCGGAGCGCCACGTCACGCAAGTGGAAGCACAACTCAAACTATGTTTATGAGTTTTCGAGGAAATTAATTACAGATACTAGTATGGTCCATAATCTTTGACCAATTATTTTCTCATTGGCGGAATTATTCTAAAACGTACACTATG